TGAGAGCTGACAATCAAAGGGCAGCTAAAAAAAGTTCCCTCAGTCTGGGCTCTGTCGGACACGGCTCATAGGGCCTATTTTGGGGGAGAGGGTGCCGACGTGCCAATGGAAAATTTATGGGGCGGGAGTCTCCAAGGTGGAGGACCCATGTGCCTCCCTCTTTCCATTCTGGCCCAACACCCCTGAGCTCACTCATGGCTAAGTGCATACACACACACACACACACACACACACACACACACTTACAGCCGATAGCCCCCACTTCCGCTTCCTAACTGTTGGACTCTGTCATCCCTACAACAGCCCAAGAAGGAATGAGGAAACTGAAGCTCAAGAAGGAGAAGCAACTTGCCTGGAAGTGGGCATGACAATGGTTGGCCTGAGCCTCTATCTATAGCTCACAGCACAGTGTTCTCCCCATAGAGGCAGCCCCTGCCTACAGCCTTCTGGGGCATCAAAAGCTCAGAAGTGGTACATTCTGGGTTGGACTGGGTAGCAAGCTAAGGATGACTTGAGTCTTGATGGGAAGAAATCCCAGTGGAAACCCCCAGGCCAGTTCTGATGGGACCTTTCCTGACTGGAGGGGCTGCTGTGTGAAGTCTTGCCTGGGTGAGCCCATCCCCTCACCCTGTCCCTGTGACCACCTTACCTTCCCCCTACCCAGGTCCTCAGAGCCTGGTAGCCCCTGCCAAGTTTCCAGGGAATGTGTCGGATAAGGGGCTGGTGCTCATGACTCCCTCCCACCCAGCCACTATCTCTGACCCTGCTGCCACCACCAAGTAGGTAAGAATAGCAACAGCCCAGTGAGTGAGCATGAACACAGGGATAACATAGCAATGTATTCAGGCAGCCAGTGCTGGCCCTCAGATTGAGGACAAGTCTTCAGGTTCCCCTCCCCATCAGTTCCAGGCCCATCGGGCTCCCCCAGTGTTCTGGGCCTGAAGCCCCACAATACTTTATGATAAAGCACCAAGCTTCATCTTCTGCCCCTGCTACCTCAGCAGATGGAATCTGGAGGGAGCACACCAACTCGTTGATCTGGCCTAGGGCCTAAGCCCTGCCCTCCACTGAAGAGCTGTGTGACTTCAAGTTGGACACTGTCCCTCTCTGGGCTCATAAGCAGGGAAAGGTGGCAAAGCAGCTCACTGAAGCATGGGAAATTGTCAGCAAGGCCTCTTCTGGGGCTAGGGCCCTTTGTTGTCCTGGTAACTATATCCTGGTCTGGCTACTGAATGCCCCCTGTAAACCCTGACCCTTTGACTTCCTGGTCAATGGGGATGTGGATGAGGTAAGGGTGTGGGAATCCCTGGGATATGATCACAGAGGAGAGGCATGTTGTGGCTGAGACCCCTCTGAGTCTTCCTGTGACACTCCTGTGAGTGTGCTCCATTATGTAGCATAAGTATGTGAGGGTGGCTGCATCACTCTGGGGAAGAAACTGTTGTCATGGAACCCACAGCAAGCGTCACCATGACATAGGAAGTGGGGAGATTTAAGGAACCTTTTGTTCAACTTCCTGAGTCACTGTGACACCTGGGAGGTAATCAAGGGAGCCAAGTCCCCCAGTCCCCACATCATTGGCACCTGCAGCTCTTCTAACCAAACCCAGCCCCTCTCCCCCAGCCTCCTCAACCCTCTACTTCCAGCCCCCTTGCTCTCCTCATCTTCCCCTGTTCTCTTCACCTTGACTCTCAAACCTACCTGCTGTCTCCCCTCCATGTCTCCCACTGACCCAAGGAGTCCCAGGGGCAGGATGCCAAGAATGCTAGGAAAGGAGTGGAAGGGAGGGGCTGAGGTGAGCTCCTGGCACACTTACACATTGTGACACAGTCACCAGGCAAACCAAACTTTAACATACATTTACACACACACATGCACAGGCACATGCTTGTGCACACACACACACACACACCCCTGATAAAGTGACAGGCCCGCCAAGGGGTCTCCCAGCTCAGTCTATCAACACTAGCCCTTCCAGGTAGGCTCCCAATCCCTGCAATAATTTATTTGGGTCCTCCTACATCTCTGAGACCCTCTCATTAGAAACATGCTATCCTGCGGCATCAGGACCTCCGGAGATGAGACTGGGGGAAAAACTTCCACCCTGAGGCCCAAGCTAGAGTCCTGGGGTGGTAGAGGTGGGTGTGGGTGGGTGGGGCTCTCTGAGATCTCAAGACTGTTTCTTTCTTTGTGAGTGAGGGCCGGACTGACCTCTGGGCCTCTTGCTTCAAGAGCCCTAATCACTGGGGCTGGAAAAAGTTTAAAAATATCCTCATGTTTACATTCTTTCCAAGCCTGCCTCCAATCCTCAGCACTGGGTCCCTTTGATCAGGCCCTGTGTCTCTGGAAGGGGCCAGGAGAGAGGGAGCACAAGCTCCCCGTCACTCCTTCTGGCTCCAGACCAGTCTGAACCCTGCAAGGCCCCTCAACATCAACTAGAGAGAGCATTGGCGGTGGCAAGAAGCCAAGGCTGAAGCAGAGTGTCCTGCCCAGGGTCACCCAGCAGGGCTATGTGGGGGCTGGCATTGGGGCCCTCTTCATACTCACTTTCAAAAGCCTGGACCTCATGTTCTCTTTCTGCTGTATGCACAGCACTAAATGCTAAATGCATTTTGTGGGGATTATCTCACATAGTCCTCCCAACAACTCCATTTTATCAAAAAGTAAACCAAAGTTCAAAATGGTGAAGTGACTCACCTGGGAACACACAGCAAGAATGAGGCAGAACATGAATCACATGTTCTGCTACCCACAGTGAGCCACCAATTGTCACCCACCTTGCCTTAGCAGGGTCTAGGCCCAGCCTTCTTGCAGAGTGAGGCCCACTTCATTAGCATGAATTCCACAAGCACTTGCTGACCCACCAACTAGTCCACAAACCTGTAACCCAGGAAAGGCCACCCCCCCTCTCCAACCCTTACTTTCCTCTATATACAGACTGAAGTTCAGAGGAGAGGCTTATGAGTTGCTCAGGAAAACTAAGCCTGCGTCCCAGGGCATTGTGGACCTTGTGGTCAGCCCCAGCATGAACACAACCAGACAGTGACCTGGGGCCTGGAGGCCCAAGAAAAAAACCCTCAAACTGGGGCACATGCCTCAGTTTGCCCTGGTATCCTGTCATCCACTCTTTCCTTTGTTGGTGCCCCACCCGCCCGCTCACTAACACATACATCCAGCCAGTTACTCACCCACGCACCTACCTACCTATATATCTGTCCAGAACAAGGATACAGAAAGCAGGTAATTACAGGGTTCCAGCTCAGGTGCTGCACCCCACTGGCTGGATCAACTTGGAAAGATCTCTCCACCTCTTTGTGATTCACTTCCCTAACTTTATAAGAAAAAGTTGGCCTGGGTGATCTCTAAGGTTCCTTCTGGGGGATCTTGTGGGAGCAGAGACCTTCTGAAGGTGGACAGTTCTGAAGAAATAACATGACAAACCTCGGCCAGACAGTTCTACCCTGTGTCCTGCTCCCAAGACTCCCAGTTGCAGCCCTTAACCTCCCTGACCTTCAAGGTCCTCTACTAGAAAAGGGGGCCAACAATCTCACCCTCACAGGTTGGTGGGAAGATGAGATGAGATGCTGCCTTTGAAGAGCTTTGTACTCTGAAGATTTCTGAGTGGGTGCAGGCCAAGAAGAGGATCCTTGAAAAGGGGCAGGGGAGGAAACTCTGCTTGGACCATAGTAGTCCTCAGAGTGTCAAATGTGGAGGCCTGGGCCCAGGATGGCTAGGATCAGCCTCAGAGTCCATCCTGGGCTGGGAATCCTGGCTGAGTCTCTCAGACTCCCCCAGGCCAGCCAAAATGCCTCTCTTGGCCCCCCTCCTACCGAATCTGCCAAGAGTAGGAGATTACCTCCTAAAAATAGGGCCTGAGCCCCACTGAGGTTGTTTTTCTCCCTTCCCCGTGATTTACCATCATCAGCTCAGGGTGCCTAGGACAACAAGTCCCACCCTGGCTCCCCAGAGACCATTGGGATGGAGATGTGGGGAATCAGTATGTATCTGAGGTCAGTCAAGGGTCAGGGATTAGAGGTTAGTCTGGAGGTGTGTTCTGGACTCAGCAGGGCACCAGGGCCATGGCTTAATCTTGGACCCTGGGATAGGGTTCACTTGGGACAGGGGCAGCATGGGGGTTTCTAGCCCCCCACCCCCACCCCAGGTGTCCATCTGAGTGATTCCCCCTCTAACTTTCTGCAGTCTCCCCATGCGCGGACCAGCCTGTGTGTGAAACACAAAGGTGCCTTTGGGCCAGCAGTGGGGCAGAGGGACCCATCCCCAGCCTTACCTCTTCTGTTCTAGCCCCATGGGGCCTTCACGATTCTTGCCTAGACCCCTCCAGAGACTGAGAGGCCTCTACCCATCCCTGTGTGCAAGTGACTCATGCATAGGGACATGAGTATGCTCACACATGAGCACAAGACATGGACTTACAAGGTGCCCTCCAAAAGCAAATATGGTATCCAGGAAAACACAAAAATAACACTCTCAAGGACACCCCTCTAAACCATCACCTGGACAGAGTTAATCCATCCAGGGTCTGTAGCCAGTGGTCTCCAAATGTCCATAAAAATGACCCACCTTGCTCAAGATCTCACCAAGAGCCCATATAATGCCACTGTGACTACAGGGGACCCCAACCTTGTGCCTCAAGCCCCCAGACCCTTTGAACAGCAGGAGATGAGAAAGGGATAAAGGGGCAGATGGGATAAAGGTAACACACACACATGGACAATTGGATATGGGCACAGCAGTCCTCTGGGGCCCATGCCCAGCTCTCTAAGGCTTTATTATTAAACAAATAATAATATTTGGAGCACTCCCACAGGCAGCACATAAAGTCAGTGTACAGCCATGTCTGGTGATATTGCCTCCACCTCAAGACAGGTAAAGGGCTTCTGCTTTGACCTGGCCCCACAGTGCTGCAGTGCTGGACCCTCTCCCAGTGGGTTTAGACAAAGTCCAGAGGCCAACCTCCCAGCTTGGACTTCCTGGACCATTCAAACTGCCGCCTTCAGGGGCACACTGTCCACTGGCTGATCGAGGTCCTTCTTCCTTGCCAAGGTCAAGTGGGTGAAGATGAGGATGAGGAAGATGCCTGAGGGGCCCCAGAAGAATGAATCAGCCTTCAGAAGGGCCAAGGGACTCCCTGCTATTGTTATTGGTTTAATGAGGAAGCAGAGATTCCCAGACAGCATCCCCAAAACTATGCTGGCATGACTCTGTGGTCCTGTTGCCTAAGGAAGGCTGATGGCTTAGCCTGCTCAGCTCTCACCAGGCCCCCTGAGGCTACCTAGGACTCCTCAGCCTCCAAGATCCCCTTCTCTGCGGAATAGTTTGGGTGAGAGTCATTTGGGAGCCAATGAGTTGTTCCCATGGACCTCTGAGAGAAAGACACATTGTAATGTAGCATTGTGCTAAACCAGCTAAGAAAACTGGCCAGGACTATTTTAGGGGGCTAAAGGGAAAAAGAAAATGGAGAGGGAGACTTGGACTGAAGGAATTAAGCTAGAAAGATCCACACCCTAGCTGTGTAACTTTGGACAAGTTACTCAACCTCTCTGAGCATCAGGGACCTTATCTTAAAAATGGGGAGATGCCAGGATCTACCTCACAGGGTTGTGGGAATGATTTAATGCCATAATCCTATGCTTGGCACAGGGCCTGACACACAGTCACTGTGTAATAATGTAACAGTAAATGCTGTTATAGATGACAATGGTGAGTATGATAACAGGAGGCAAGAACATAATGACTAGGAGAGTTGGGGAGGATCTCTTCTCCAGCCTGGAAAGCTCCATGGGGACAGGGGCACTGTTTATCTGGAGGCTATGTCTCCAACCATACATCACCCTCCCTCATGCAGGAGCCCAGCCTCCATTACCTATTGCTAACAGGGTGCCCACAAGGATGCCCACTGCTGACAGCTTCGTGGGCATGCCCTTCATGCGGCCCACTTTTCGCATGCACTGCCCCTCCACATTGCAGCGGCACACAATCACTGGGGGAAGGCAAGAGAGAAAGGTAAGAGTGGTGGTAAGGCATTCTCCCTAGATGCTTGGAGCACCCAACCCAGCCCAACTGACTGGTATGTGTGTTTTTGTGGACCTGTATGTATTCATGTGTGGGGAGGGTACATGCTCCTCTGTGTACATGCCTGCATGCACAACTCTGTGTGCCCAACCATAGATGTGCAGGTGTACACAGGCATATGCTGTCCATGTGAGCCTGCATACACATGTACCCAGCCCCTCCCCCTGTATTCAATGGTTCCCTCAGGAACTGCAGGCCTCACCTCGAACCAGGAGCTGCCACATCTGGGCATTGTGGTTGATAATTACAGGGACTAAATATTCACGTGGCTCTACCCAATGCAGGGCCAGGGTGAGATAGGCATGGGAACCTGTTGGAACCATAAACAGTGATCAGAATCACTAGCCTCGACAGGCCCTCTGGGGGCTGCTTCCCCCTAAGCCCGGCCCCGTTCCCATGGTGGAAGGGCATCTTACTTCAAGTGCCACCCTCTCCCTGCTTGGGCCACAGCATACTCCTTTACCCCACCACACACCGTTGAAAGCCTGGATGTGCCAATCCCGCTGCACTGTGGGATTGAGACCAAGGGCAAAACTGTAGGGACCGTGCCCATCAGCCAGGTCAACGTCCTCGCTGGGTCCACTGACAACTACACCATGGTTCTTGCGGGGTGTGCAGAGGTGTCGTGTGGGCACAAGGGCCAGCGTTGGGGCTGGGGCAGAATGGGCCTTCAGGAAGTGGATCACGAGGGTCACAAAGGTGCTCAGTGTTGGTTCATCTGCAGAGAAGGTAGTGCTGAGCTGGCCCTGGCCCTAGTGAGGGTGGGGGTGAGTCTGTGGTCTCTTTCCACCCATAAGACTCACCCTGCTGATTCCCCTGCCACACCCCTCCCTCCACTCTACCTCCTCCTTTCCATCCCCATCATCATCCCCACGCCAGTCTCTTCCTCATAATGTACTTCACCCGAGTCACTATCCAAACAGCTGTCAGGCTTTCCTTTTTGTGCTTTTCTGGATGCTAAGCTTGTCCTCACTACCCCACTACCACCAGTCCCACTGTTGATGCCAGGACCCACCAATGTGGAGATGCCCAGTCTGTAGAGGAGCTTACTCCTGCTGGTTCTGTGCTGCTTCACAGGACGGCCCAGCTCAGAGCTAAAGCCTACCTCCCTGACTTACCTGCCCCTGGGCCAGCTCTTTATCATGTCAAAATGTCACTCAGAGTCTTCCACACCTGGCCTCAGTGTCCCATTCAGGCTTATCTCTTGGCACACCTGCCCCAGGAGAGCCCCTGGTCCTATTCCATCTGCCCAGCCCCTCACCCTCTGCTCCCAGCCCATGTCTGAAGCCAACCCCTGAGAAGCCCTTTGGGGATATGAGGCAGGGTTGGGGGATTGCAAGAGGGTGGTCTGAGAAGGGAGGCAGAGGCTAGGCATTCTCAGAGAGGGACACTGAACCCAGCCCCTCGTCCCTTCCTCATACATAGGGCAGTGTAGATGACAGCAATGGCCCCAGGGAGGCAGGTCTGTCCTGTCTATCCATGTTTGTCTGAGGGTTGTATCCCTCTCAGAGGACCCAACCACTGCCTGGACATACCTGCATCCTGGGCCTCCACAAGCACTGTGTACATGTCCCCAGGCTGGGCACCCTGAAGGGGCCGTGCCGTGTGCACCTCCCCAGAGACTTCTTTGATGCAGAGCCAGCCTTCTGAGTCATTGACCAGGGAGAACCTGGGGCCCAGTGAAGATAGGGGATGAGAAGGCATTGGGATCATATATGGGGTCTTGCTCAGAGACCTCCAGGACCGTGTGACCTGCTCAAGTTCCATATCCTCTCTGTGACTTGGGGTGGCAGCAGTTCTCTGAGGTACCTAGTCTCTCCCCAGCTTCAGGGACTTGTTAGGGGACAGGGCTTGAACCACAGATATTGTGGGTAGGGAAGGGACTCTCAGAACCTGAGGGTACCTAACTCAACTTCATTAATCCCAGGTCACCCCACAAAGGGACCAGGATTGGGCAGCCTGTCATTGCTGCAGACTGGATGAGGGTGCTGGAGAAGGCCAATCCAGCCAGCATGGGGAGGCGCCATCTTAGCTCTCATGGGGTCCAAATATCCCTCTTAGTGTCCTGTCCAGCTTATCCAGCCCTGATCCTTCCCAAGGACTCACAACTTGGCATTAGCCAGGTCTGAGGAATTTTGCAGGCCATAGATTATGTGAGTTGCCTCTGAGGCCCAGGGGTCATCCCTGGGGAGCAGAGGAGGTCCAGCCCAGGTAAGAGGCTGGGCTTCTGGCTCACCTGAGAGGACTACTCATGGGGTCCAAGGGCTGAATGGTCAGCAGGAGGGATCCAGCTGGGGTGCTGACTGGGATGCTGGCCTCATAGCTCTCCTGGTCCAATTTGGGGGGTGGCAGCACCCTCTCCACCAGCACAGTCACTGTGGCTGTGGCTCCAGGGCTTGGGCCTGGCCCCACCATCTCTGCCACACTCTGCACCACCACCACCAGCTTGTGACTTGGAGCTGTCTCAAAGCTGAGGTTCTGGAACCAGTGGGGCCTGGGTCACTGTGTGGGATGGGGTGTGGCACACTTGTGCATGCATGTGCGTATGTGTGTGCCCCGTCCCCACCTCAAGTCTTTTACCTTGAGGAGTCGCAGTTGGACATGACCAGAATCTGGCTCCCAATCCAGGCCAAAGGTCCCATCCACATTCCCTGCCTCAATGGCAAAGTTCATGAGGCGGAAGGTAGGGTCAAGGTCAGCATCAGTAGCCATGAGTGTGGCCACCAGAGTCCCAGGCTTTGTGTCCTCAGGGAGACTTATGGGCTCAATCTGGAGATAGTTGGATAGGCTGTGAGTCTCCCATCAGCTCCTTCCCAAGGTCTCCTCCCCTGCTCCTGCTTACCTGAGAAGTGATAAACTCGGGAGCATGGTCATTAATGTCCGTGATTGTGACAGTGACCTCACACGTGCTGCTGAGACCTGAGGCAGGGGAGGGCATGTTGGGGAGTCCAGAATAGAAATATAGGGGGCAGGGAGCCTGGGTCACCATCAGGGCACTTACCGCCCTCTGCTCCTCCTAGGTCAACAGCCAGCACCTGAAGCAGGATGTTCTGGCCAGCGTGGAAGGGGAGAGCCCCCAGTGTCACACTGCCTGAGGTGGAATCTAGCTCAAAAGCTCTCCCTTCTGTCTCCTTAGGCTCAGGGCTCAGCAGCCGATACACAACGTGGGAATTGGGGGAACCAGGGGCATCCATGTCCTCTGCCAGCAGCCTAGTCACCTTGGTGCCTGCAAAGATAGCACCCACATGGGTGGGACCAGGGCCCAGCCTGGAGGCCTTAATTCATCCACTCCTCTTTTGTGCTGGACTAAACCCGATCTTGTGTGTGTGTGTGTGTGTTGTGTGGAGGTCATTAAGGCTGGCCCCATCCCAGAGAAGAGCAAGATGGGATGGTTCAGAGACTTCCCCCTTCCCCCAGCCCTTGACAAGGCCTATAGCCCACCTGGGGGACTGAGCTCAGGGATGCTGATTGGGGGGTCACGTGGGGAGCAAACAGGCACGTTGTCGTTCTCATCCATCACCACCACCTGCAGCTCCAGAGGTTCTGTGTAGTCCTCACCATGGGTATTCTGAGCCCACACCTGCAGCAGATACTATAGTGGGCAGTGAAGGGCTTCAGATGAAGGGCTTCAGATGAAGGCCAAGGGAAGCTCCAGCCTGGCCTGGGTCTGGGTTCCCTTCTGATGGCTAGCTCCAGCTCTTCTGGGTACTCTTTCACTGCCTCAGTGCCTGTGGGGGATGTGACACCCCCAGAAGCCAACCAGACAATGACCAAGCACCCCTTATCCTGCCCTCCTGACTTCCCCCTCACCTCACCTCAGCCTGGGTTTCTCGGTCCAACTCCATGGTCACATAGAGTTTCCCCTCTGCATCTACATCAAAGGGTCCAGGGGGCTGGCTCTCCAGGTGATAATGTACATCCCCACCACTCCAGTGTACCTGGGAGAGGGACACAGAATGAGGACACCCCAGGAAAAGAGGCAGAAACAGGCTGTATCAGCCTTTATTTTTTTTAATGTATTTTTTATCCTCACCTGAGGACATTTTTGCATTTATCTTCAGATAGAGCAGGAGGGAGGGAGTGGGGAAGAGAGAGAAAGAAACATCGATGTGAGAGAGACACATCGAGTGATTGCCACCAAACAACTCCCAACCGGGGCCGGGGACAAACTGCAACTGAGGTACACACCCTTAGCAGAAACCAAACCCAGGACTCTCTGGTCCACAAGCCAATGCTCTAACTGCTGAGCCAAACTGGCCAGGGCATCAGTCTTTATTATTCAACTATTAACATATGGGGATCCCGGGCCCCAATTACTATGTGACCCAAGGGAAGATGCTGTCTTCCTTGAGTCCAGGTAGAGTCCTTCTGTTTGGAGCACTTGTGGTTATGGAAGTTCTGTGGTGGCTTTGTGCTGGTCCAAGCCTGGACCCCGCCCAAAATGCCTGAATGACCAGGTTGTTTGATTCTCTTCCTTCATGCAGGACCTGACCCTAGAGCATTCCTTGGGGAGGCCTGAGACATTCCTGGCCTGAGTGACAATCCCCGTGGCAGCAGGGAGCAGCAGGGGGGTGGCAGCTGTTCTCCCAGGAAGCCTGGGGCAAGCTCAGGAAGTCACAACACAGAGCTACACCTTCCAGAGGATAGCAGGTGAAGGACTGTGGGTCTGGTTCCAGGGCCTCGAATGCCCCACTCCATGAGGAGAACCGATGGGGATAGTGGAGGGAAGAGCACAGGTAGGAGAAGAGGAGGGATTAAGCTGGGCCCCAGACCTACCCCCAAAATCTCCATGAGACTCAGGTCCAGCTGCACCATCCATGGGGCTACTTCAGTCACTGACAACCACTTACTCACCTGGGAAATGTGATGTGGGTATGGAACTTTGAGATTCTCTGCCAGGTGGACAGGATCTAGAGGCAGCCAGGTGTTCTCTACTATGAAGACATCTATAGTAGCTGTGGCCTGGTGACCTGAGGCCTGGTCACCCATGTCCTTGACCTGTACCAACAGCCGGTAGGGTCCCTCCAGAGTCTGGTCTAGGCTGGTGCTCCCTAGAAGAGACAGGGTGATTAGCTGAGCAGGGGTTCAGGGCATCCTTCTCAGCAAGGTACCTAACACAAAACCAAGCATTTGGCAGGTGTTCAGGATACTCTCTTGGCCAAGGGATGAGAAAGACTTTTAGCACCATTGTGAGCATTCAACCAAGACTTGACAGTTTTCAAAGTAACTTTCATATCTATCCACACAATGAATGTTTGATGGGCTAGATGGGTGGATCACCAGGACAGAGGCAGGAAGAGTACATGAGTAAATGGGTAGATGAGTAGATGACTGGTTGGATAAATGGTTGGTGGATGGATGGGAGTTTGGAGAGCAGTAAGATGGGTAGGGGTTTTGGTGCGAGGATGAGTTAGTTTGGATGGATGTTTGGATAAATGGATTGCATATGTAGTCGAGTGGTAGATGAGTGAATGGGGGGATGGTTGGGTGGCTGGCTAGGTAGATGAATAACCGACTTTTATTCCTATCCCTAGACCATGACTCTGGTCTGAAGTCCCAGGTCTAGGTCTCTCTTGCTGTCAGTCCAAAAGTCTCCCAGCAATGTCCTAGGTTACAACCCCTCAGGTCTCTCCTATCTTTGCCCTCAGGTCCAGATCTCCAAAGTGTAGGGCTGAGGCACTCCACCAACACCATTTCTTAACTCTCCATGCATGGTCCTGCTCCTATGCATGGTTCAAGCATGGCCTTTTGCCTTGAAACTCTCTCCATTCTAAAATGTTCTTTCTTCCTCCTTTATCTCTCAAGTTCCAACCCATCCTTCTATTACTGCCTTCCCCAGCTTTCCCTGACTCTCCCTCCCCATCACATCAAGTTCAGGCTCACCCTTGGGGCTGAGGGCCAAAGCCCCCAGCCGAGGCTCCAGCTGGAACATATCTGGGAAAGGCTGGGCTGGGGCCTGGTTCAGGATGTGGAATCGGAGATCTGAGTTAGCTGTTCCTGGCTCATCCTCATCCGAAGCCTCAAGGAAGAGGAAGGGAATGCCTGGTGTGTATGGAGAGGGCATACCATAAGGGGTACGAAGGATGGGAGAGTCTCCCATGCCTCCCTATCTCTTCCTGGTTCTTCTTTCCATATCCATCACCATAACAGGACTCATGGTAAACCACAGATTTTCACCCCACTTCACAGATGAGCAAATTGAAGCCAATGTGGATGGAACTCACCTGAGGACCCTCAGTGGGTAGAAAAGTGCAAGATGGGACAGAAATGGGAGAAGGCAGCTTGAATCATGGCTGCCCTGTCCCTAGGTTGATGCTCTGGCCAAATCTTTACTCTTTCCTCCCCTTTCAATGCCCACCTGACCTTGCTGTAATCTGGCTACCCTGGCCACTCACCAGGCCTGGTGCCCTGGCTCAGCTGAACTCTGGAGATGGCCTGGGAGAAATGAGGCACCTGATCATTTTCATCCTTCACATGCACAAGCACAGGCTGTGGACCCCACAAGACATGTCCATCCTCAGTCTCCAGCGTGACCTGCAGGGAAGGGTAGTTAGTGTCCTGTTCTGCCTTTGCTGCTTTCCCCTATATCTGGCCCAGCCCTACCTGTAGCTGATATTCTGCCTGTTCCTCTCGATCCAGGGCTCTGGTCACCAGGAGGAAGCTGGACTCAGGATCCACAGCAAAGGGGCCCTCAGCTGCCATGCCTAAGTTTCCTGACAGCACAATCTGGCCCTCAGCTTCCTCACGGGGTAGTGGCAGCTGGTGGAGGAAAACAGAGGTGAAGGAAGTGGGGGCTAGGCCTGGGGGATGCCCCTCCACTCAATGGCCCCATTTCATATGTGTGGAAACTGAGGCTCCAAGAAGGCTAGCACTTGCCTGAAGTCACACAGCCAGTAAGTAACAGAACTGAGATTCAAAGTCAGAGTTCTTTCACCTGCACCTGATGCTTCCTAATACTCCATGACCTTCTTTCTAAAGCCTGAAACTCCTCCCCCAGTACTTCATTCTCTAACTTAAAGATTTACTTTCTTCTGTGATTGAAGTGTTACTAGTCATGCACACTATATTGCATATTCTCCAAAGAGCAGGGCTTAAAAGTGAGCCAGAGCAAGTAGAGAAAGGAGTACTGGAGGTAAGGGAAGCAGGCAGGACTTGGGGGAAGGGCAGCCCACCTTGGTCAGGTACACCTTGGTCAAGCTCACCTTGGTCAAGTACAAAGGAAAATTTCCACCATAGTTTTCTGGGACTTCCACATACAACTCTGTAGTCTGGGCCTCAGGGAGAGCCTGTGGGAAGATTCTCACCTTGTCACAAGGCTCTTCCTGCCACGGCGCTGGGGACCTTACAAGGAGGGGAATTTCTTCCTCTTCCCTGGACCTGGCCATACTTTTGCACATCCACCCTCATGATCCCACAATAGCCAGCTCTGACCTCCTGCCCCCAACTGCTACCATCTGTGGTCAGTGTAACTGGTCCAGGTGGAATGGGGAGCAAGGGTGCCAATCCCCAAAGCCAGGATCTAAAGGAGGGGAGCAGGGCTCAACTCACCTGGGGGATGGAGAAGCAAAGCAACCATAGCCAGGCAGGGATCATGGTTCGGACGGGCCTAATGGACATGGCAGTGAGGATCCAGCCCAGATTGGTGGGCATGAGTCTCTCCCATTACCTTTCCCCCTAGAAAGTATTCTCCTCATCCCCACTCAGCTCCAGGCCTTGGCTTCTCCAAGCCCCATGGGATGTAACTGTTCCTCCTTTTACAGCTGAACCTTCTTCTACCTAGTCACTACGGAACAGGCAGCCAGACCTCCTCCTGTCCCGTCCTTCTATGCTGTCCCAGAAACTCTCATCCCACTGCCCCTCCCCATCCCCGCTATGTCAACACTGCCACCACCCATTCCCACCCTTATCGCCTGCTCAGCTCATTTCAAATACATAGACAGAGAGACCTTACGACAGACTGGCCTCTTCTTCCTCCCATTAGAAGGGCCTGTGGCTCCCCATTGTTGCAGGGTAGTGTCCAGCTGCTCAGCCAGGCCCACCAAGGCCCCTAGGCCCAGCCACCCTGCTGCTTCTTTGTTCTTGCCCCCTACAAGGATCTTCATGGAAGTTTCATCTCCAGACCTTTCTCTCCTTCCCACCTTAGCCTCCCAAAATTGTAGATTGCAAAGTTGTAACTTCCCAGCAGCACTGAAAATCACGAAAGTTTGCGAAGACCCTGATGACTCTGAGGGTCACTTCCTGCAGTTGCCTCATGTTGCATGCAAGGCCTGAAGGACAGGGCCTGACCAAGGTCACAGAGGATTAATTAAGCGCAGGCAAATTCTTCCTGGAACAGAGGACTCTTGGTTCAGGGTTTCCAGGACTGTTCTTCTTTCCACTGCCATCCTTCAGACTCGAGTTCCCTCAGGGCAGGAGCCCTGCCCTTATCTTGGCATTTTCCAGAACTCAACATGGAGTTGGGCACACAGAGCATGGACAACCACTCTGATCTTGTCTGTGTTTCTCCTTCCCCCACCACCAACCTCACCTCAGCCCTGCCCACCCCCACCCCCACCTCCACCCCCACCCCCACCTCCACCCCCACCCCCACCTCCACCCCCACCCCCCACCTCCCAGACCTTCACCTGCTGGTGCCTAAGGCTGGCTTCCTTGGTCCAGCTACCAGGTGAGAAGGCTTTTTCTCCAAGGAGTGCTGGCTTGACTGGGCTTGGTGGAGTAGGGCAGGGCAGACACTTGAGCAGGCAGGGCGTACACTTGAGCAGGTAGGCGGTCCTGCCACGCTTGCTCAGGAGTGGAAAACACCACTGGGCCCACAGCAGCAGGCCTGGCCCTGCCCAGCCCCCCAAGTTACTCATTGACTTTGGAAAGCTGGGGGCTGCTTAGCATCCGTCACTGCCAGCCCTAGGAGGTATGGAGATCTTCGGCTTGGCACTCCTCCCACCCCTACACAGCCCAGTGGGCACTTCTTAGCCCTCCGGGCTTGAACAGTACAGTCTGTGGGTTTCCCATCCACACATTCAACAAACTATAGGTAGAAAATATTAAAAAAAGAAATTGTTACGTTGTTGTTGATGTGTAGTTAGGCCTATGATGGTTACACTTTACTGAACATGTACAGACTTTTTTTCTTCTCATTATTCCCTAAACAATACAGTATAACAACTATTTACATAGCACTTACATTGTGTTAGCTTTTGTAAGATGATTTAGGTATTAGGTATTATAAGATAATTATAATATATATTAGATATCATAGAGATGATTTAAAGTATACAGGAGGTGCCCTGGCTGGTTTCTCAGTGGTTAGAGCGTCATCCTGCGGACCTGAGGGTCTCGAGTTCCATTGCAGTCAAGGGCACATACCTGGGTTGCGGGTTCAATGCCCGGCCCTGGTTGGGGTCATGCGGGAGGCAACCAATTGATGCATCTCTCTCACATCCATGTTTGTCCCTCCCTCCCTCTCTTCCACTCTCTCTAAAAATCAATGGAAAACTATCATCAGGTGAAGATTAATAAAGTATATGAGAGGAGCTCTGGCCAGTTTAGCTCAGCAGTTGGAGCATCAGCCCGAGGACCAAAGGGTCTCAGGTTTGATTCCTCCTCAAGGGCACATACCTGTCTAACATCAATGTCTCTCTCTCTCTCTCTCTCTCTCTCTCTCTTCCCCCTTCCTCCATCCCTCCCTTAAAAAATAAATAAATAAAGTATACAGGAGAATGTGTGTAGGTTACATGCAAATATTATACCATTTATATAAAAGACTTGAGCCCTGGCCAGTTTGGCTCAGCGGTTGAGCGTCAGCCTGTGGACCAGAGAGTCCCGGGTTCAGTTCCCGCTAGGGGCACATACCACAAAAAAAAAAAAAAAAATTAAAAAAAATTTAAAAGACTTGAGCATCCTCAGATTTTGGTATCTATGGGAGTCCTGGAACAAATCCCCTACAGATATGGAGGGATAACTGTACTTTTCCAGTGGCTCCAGACTCGATTCCACTTCTCCCTCATGCTCCATCTGCAGCTCCACCTTGGCTCACTCTGTTCCTTTTGTCTGGATGCTCTTCTCACTCCTTCAATTGTCTCGTGAGCACCTGCTCAGGCATCAGTACTCAGCTCATATTCTCTTCTCCAGGAAACCTTCCGAGCTCCCAGCTTGTTTAGGTTTCTCCTCTGGGAATACCCATCATCCCATGCCATGTGCTATCTCTATTAATGCAGAGAGGACACCAGATTTGCATTGACTATCTCTTCCATCAGACTGAGAACCTCTCCAAGGCAGCATGCAGGGACCCAGAAATCACCTGGCCCTGCCCAGCCGCAGCTCCCGTCTGTCTTGTGGAACTAAGACAAGGAGCTGGGGGTTGTGCTTGAAGGAGAGATGAGCAGTGCATAACCTGAACTGGGGATTCTGGGCACCAGACCACCTACCAGTGGGGCATTGCGGGGAGGGACAGTGGTCTGTGAGATTGCTTGAAGCTCCCTAAGTGCTCACACTTGCCCCTGGACACTGAAAGGGCTGAGACAATAGACTTCCTCATGCCTCTGAGTAGGAAAGAGAAGACTGAGCCAGCTCAGGTGACCTTGAGAGAATTGCAGGGCTGACCAGGGGCCCTTCCCCGCAGTGAGGGCAGCCAAGCAGAGCCAAGAGAAGCTTCTGGGGCCTGGGAGTCCAGAACAAGGGGGGAGGGTGGGAAGGGGCACAAGGTGTCTAATCTCTCCTTGTCCTCAGAGCTTCCCGTGGTCTCCCTGGAGTCCTTCCGACTGCTTTTCTGGTTAATTTCTCTCAGGCTGGAGGCTGGACTAAAACCCCTCAGCTGTACCCAACCTTGTCTGTCACAAGCTAAGTGCCTGCCTCAGGGTCACCCCAGACACCCCAGCCTAGAGCAGTGCAGTATGGGGATGTTGAAGGGTCTCACATGTATTAAGCCCCTACTGTGTGCCTGCTCCAAGCATATCACTTCATTATTCCACTCACTCTATTCTGAAAAGGACATCATCCCCATGTTACACACTGGGGCAAAAAGAGGTTGAGTGGCTTGCTGAGGGTCACAGTGAGTGGCAGAACCAGGAAGGCCTGGATTCTTCTTCAGACCTCAAGAACTTCACCTGCTCTGAGAAAGCCATGTCTTCCACATGCCTCAAAGTATGTTGGGGGTGGGAGGAGTGGGGAGCAGCAGAAGCTTTGAACAGTTAACATTGCCCTGGGGGACATGTGGATTAGTCACAGAGGTCACATACACTGAGGAACAGCCTTCAAACCTCCTCCTACCATTGAACAACTGCTATCAGAACTCTATCCAGGTTGTAAGGGCTCCCAATGGAATGAATAAACTGAACTAATAAAGGAATGTATGGAACCCTGGCCTGGAACCTTCTCAGAAACTCCTCAGCCTTGCCCTAGGCTGCCTCCAAGCTTTGGAGACTGGCAGACCCCATTCTATATACCAGTCCCCATTCAGCCACTTTTACCTGTGTGACCTTGGCCAAGCACTTTAGTTTCCTATCTGCCAATGCGGAATAGGGATGCTTGTTTCTGAAATGACATACATAATGCATAAGGGCTCCCCTTCCTAAGTGTGAGTGATGGAGAGACAGGCACACCTCTATTAGTAATACACACAGATGCATGGACTCTCTTTTTAGGCAGGAGGGCTCCAGGGACCTGTTTCTGCCAATGCCACATTAGCCAATGCTGAGCATGGGATGTTCTGGCCAGGCCACTCACAGTGGAGAGAACAGTGAGGCCCCCTCAGCAGCCCAGCCTCAGCAGGGACGTGGGGACCCATTCAGAATCAAGTCTACAGGGTGTGCCTTCCCCACCTCACCCTTAACAAGCCAGGAGGTTTTGAAGTCTTCCACAGCCACCCCACCTGGGTGGATTTCCAGCCCCTGTGGGGGGAGCAGGACAGAGACACCAGAAAGAGGGCCAGACACAGGGTTTTTGTTTGGCCATGAGACCTGGGTCAGGGTATGATCCCTTGAGCAGCCTCAGTTTCCCTTACACACAGTGAGGTGATTGAACCCTCAACCAGCTGAGCAATGTCAGGCCCCAGCACAGGAGAAGAATCTGGATAATACCTAGGAGGAGTTCATGTCTTCTCCTGCTACTGGCACCCCCAAGCAGGCCCCAACCCACACATGCCCCTCTGACTCAGCTGGCTCTATCTGGGCCCAAACACTATGATAGTTAAGGCCACACACTAGGGTGGGGCAGTGAGCCCCACTTTGGGAACCCTGCATGCTTCTACAGCCCCTCCCCTCCCAGGATGAAACACAGAGTCCACAGCCTTGACCTATCAGGAAATAGTCTTTATTTTAAAAATCTGCCTGTAAACAAATAGCCACTGCACTGAACGGCCACCCTCCCGGGCATGCACACCTGGGTGGAGAGAAGGGCAGAGTCCTCGCCCCACACACAGATCTATCCCATGAGTTGGGTTCAGGCTGCTGCTTGGGACACATACGGGCCTGCCCAAGCATCTCTTTGGGCCCAGCCCTCGATGGCCAGTGGAAGCCACCTCCCCGGGCAGCACTGTCTGTCCATGACCATGATGTGGGGGACACCCAAGTCTGGGCCAGTCCTGAGGCACCTAGGGCAGTTTGCTGGGCCAGCCCACCAATCTGTCCATCTGTCTGCACAACACAGTGAGTGCCTTTGAGGCCTAGAGCACTGAGAGGTCGTGGCAAGACTTGGACTTGGCACGGAAGGCCATCTTGCGGCTGTTGCGAGCTACAATGCGGCCCAGGAAGCGCTTCGCCTTCTTGCCAAGGCTCTCTCGCCGCACTGTACCTGCTTGCCGACGTGCATTGGCCTCTTTGCTGTCCCTGCGCAGGCGTATCTGGCGCACAATGCCCTCGAACAGTGCCTGGACGTTGTGGTGCAGTGCAGCTGAGGTCTCAATAAACTTGCAGTCGAAGACCACCGCACAGGCCCGGCCCTCTGGTGTAGGTGGGGACAGGCACATACCAGTAAACAAAGGGTGGTTCATGAGAAGTTCACTCAAACCCTGGCCATCCCATGGTAGCTGCCACACAGGAATCTGTGGGTAAGGGACAGTGGAGCCCTGGTTCCTCCTCAGAACAGAGACCCTCAACCCCTGTATGGAAGGGCTTGGGCATTGCTGGTCACCCAACTGGGTGTGTGAGTTTAAATAGCTCACAAAGGCCGGCAAAAGAAGACTCATTTATTGAAATAATTTGAAGTCTGATAAGTAAGTGGAAGTGCCACAGTAGTCAACACAGGAGAATGAGTACTTTGTTGAACAGCTTAGTGTTTTACGTTTAATGTTATATCATGATGAATGACCAGTGGAATGGTGGGTATATAACCAAGTCACTGCTGGGTTCTTCTGAGGGACTCAGTTCTGAAGCCACAAAGGAGGATACTCAGCCCAAGAGGGGAGGGTCCTCCCCAGGGGCAAGCCTACTTTGAAACTGGCCCAGGCCTGGGATCCAAGCTCTGACCTGGTCCATGCACTCTCCCCATTCTTTGTCTGTCAGACCAGGGCCACAGAGGACAGGAGGGGAGGGCCCTGAGGTGATGCAGCAGCTTCCGCCTGTCCTAACACATTTGGTCCTTTCCCCAGCACTCTCAGGATTCGGGGAGTCCTGTGGGAGGACAGCAGTTCTCCCCTTCTTCCCTGACAAGTTTTCTTCCTAAACGTTTTTAGCCACTGATGATCCCTAGGGACTCAAGCTAAGTCAAGACTGAGTAGACCACAGCCCAGCCAGGATCTCCCTCCCTTTCTGACCCACACCCTGCTCACCATCCAAGGAGACCTCACGAGAGCGCACCAGGTCGCTCTTGTTGCCCACTAGGATGATGGGCACGTCGTCTGTCTGCCGCGCCCGCCGCAGCTGGACCCGCAGCTCTGAGGCCTTCTCGAAGCTGCCCTTGTCTGTCACTGAGTACACAATGACATATGCATCCCCCATGGTCATGCAGTGGCCAGGTAGCCAGTGGCACCCATCCTAAGGAAGACACACATACACACGTCTACCCAACAGTCCTCAGCTACAACATGCCCGTTACAAGGCTATTACTCCCAGCAGGCCCCTACCAACCCCAGCTCACCCCTCCTACCCTGTCCTGGGTCTCAGCCTGTATCCTACCTGCTCCCAAATGTCATAGACCATGAGCGATGCCTCTTCTCCATCCACCACAATGGAGCGATCATACGTGTACCCTGGACAGGAGACCAGTAGTCAGGTTACTTGCTGGCTGCCAAAAGCCTCCCCCACCCTGCATGTGCCAGGTTTCCTATTCTGGCCACACACCTCAACTCCCCAGAGTCCCCCACAACCTTCCTGTCCACTAATGGCTGCTATGTGGCAACAGAAGTGATGGGGGGCACCCCTTCCCCAAGCTAGCAATGTTCTGTGTGGCCATTCCTGTGCTCCCTACCCACCTGTTGCCTGGGCCCCAGAGTGGTTCTGACCACAGTGGCATGAGTTAGAATAATGACAGTCACATCCCCTCAGGGCCTAAGTTGCCTCTCCTAGAAACTTCTGGCTGTGTTCCTGTCGGTCCTGGCAGGAAAGGATCCTGTCCACATCCTGGAGTAGTCATATGTATGCCCTGGGCCTTCTACTCAACATTCTTCTTCTACCAAGGGTCCCTTCTCTCTTAATTTCCCCAATTGTGAAATGGGTAGGTACAGGCATGATTCTGAAAGTGTCTTCACAATCCCTTGGTATTTGCTCCTTTTATTCCAGGTCCCGGGCACTGTATCCCCCAGGCCTAACCCTGGGATCTTCCCTCCTTTGAATAGCCCCAGCCCCTTACCTGCAGCCTCTGCTTCAGGCCCGTCCTCTAAACCACCGAAGATACGCGCCAGAGCGCTCTTGCCCACGCCAGGCGCCCCCAGCAGCAGCACCTTGTAAACACTCTCATCTGAGTCGCTGCCCCCTGAGCTGAGCGAGTCAGAAGAGCTCTCGGGCCAGTCCAGCCTCGGACCCTGGGTCTCAATTCCCGCAGCAGCCGTTGCCAGAGCTCTGGGAGCTAGCGCCGCCTGCAGGTCGCGCTCATCCACAGGCATGCTTCGGCGATGCAGCAGAGGCGCTGGGCCCCAGGGTGTGCTGCCCCGACGGCGTTCTCGCTCCTGTCCCTCCCCACGGCTGCTGCTGCCATTCAGAGTCATCACCTCAGATTCCGTCTGGAGAAGAATCAGTATGGCCTCATAAGCCACGGTGGAGATGGAGAGGGAGGCTGAACCCTGGGCGCACCTGCCCGACCTGGGGTCTGGTAAGGTGCTAGGGACCAACGACCTGCCATAGTCCCATCCCAGTCGTGCGCCCTGACTTGTAACCCATCCTCCTAACTTGTCCATCAGCAACCCTGATGGTGCGACCACCCCCTTTCCGTTCCGCCAGGACACTTACTTACAGCACACAGACACAGTCAGGACAAGGTTTCCTGCTGGGATCACAGACCCAGGCTCGGGTACTCAATGCTGTCACAGCCGGTGCCTTTTCTGTCCGCACTGGGTCCAGGCTCCAGAGCCGACTATTTAAGCCTCTGCCCGCCCCCGCGCTCGCCCCAGTCCACGCTGAGGCCGGGGCTGACGTGTCTGTTCCACTCTCCCCAGGAGGGATCCCACACCCTCCTCCTAGGATCTCACACCCACGGAGACCCCGCCCCACCCGCCAAGGCGGAGCAGGGGTAGGCTAACAGAGAGAGGCAAGGTGTGAGTGTGTGTGTGGGGGGGGGGGGAGGGGGCGCGGGGGAGCGGGAGGCAGGGAAGGAGGGAGAAGGAGGGGGAGTATGTGAATGGTGCTCAGGAAGTGTAGGGGGAGGGTGAGAAAATGGTTGGTAGTAAGGACCAGCCAAGTGTGCCAACTCCCCTTTAGGGAAGAATTAGTTCTGGCCTTTTAAAAGTAAATTCTCCCTTCCCTCTTGCCCTGTACTGGCCTGTCTCCCAAGCAAGCAGAACATTTACAGGCTGGACAGATTTCATCCTTCTCTGGTGGTTAACACCCACCCCTCACTGACCCATATCTGAGCTAGAATTTAGGGGTACTAAATCCGGCTTCTAGCCTCAACATCAAGTTCTTCCCACTCCCCTACCTGCCACGGGGAGTTGAAGTTTCTACCTGTTGAGCCTGCCCTTCAGGGTGAGGGTGTCCCTGGGGGCTTCTGGAGACCTATTTGGGGAAGGGGAAAAGAAGGAAGTCCTTCTAGCAATGTGTGGCAGCTAGAGGTGCAAGCTTGAATCCTGGGGAGGGAACACAAGCCCAGAGCAGGGAAAGATTGAACTCAGCATCACCTCACCCCACAGCACCATGTAGACAGCTGCTAGCAACTCTGCTAAAAATACCTGGCCCTGGCCCCAGCCCCAGCCCTGGTCATTCTGTTCCTGGGCTGGAGGTTGCCCAAAGTTGGGGAAATCCTGGCAGGCAGGTGTCAGTTACCAGAAGGAGCAGAAGGGGGTGGAACTGGACCAGGAACCGGATCAGGGCTGGATCCAGCCACTTTAAGAGCCTTCAGTGTGGCACATGTTAGGTCTGGAGATTCAGACTCCCATTCAGGAGTGGGGGTGGAGGGTGGAGGTGGAGGAGCTCTTAGCCACCACTGGGTGCTACCACTGCCCAGAGCTCACCCCCTCTTCAGACCTACGGTAACCACCAGGATACAGAGGGGAGATGTAGTGAGGAGGCATGGTTTCTAGTCCTGGCTCTGCCTCCAGGTTCCTGGGTTTTGTCTCGATCCCAGTCTCTGGGTGCTATAAACTGGTCATGAGCTATTCCCTCTTGTTCATACATCTGGGGTGTGTAAGGGTTGGGGGCAGGCAGCTATGAGAAACTTTGTAACGGACCTACTATAAGACTCTGACATTTGTTTGTGACAAGTGTGGTAGGAGTGAGTGTACCCATTCAGGGCTTAGGTGACATCACAGATGGATGGATCCTGGTGGGCTGTTGTAGGTTGTCATGGGGACCTGGTAGGGCTCTCTGCCTGCTGCATCAGTTTCCTTGGCAACCTCTGCAAGGGCCATGGAGTAAGGAGGGCCTGGCTAAGTGTTAGGGAGTTCATGCAGGCCCCTCTTATTCTTGAGGTCCCCAAAGTAGGCAAGGGCTAGACTGTGGGGTAGCCTGTCCATTTGTGTCCTTCGCATGGCCTGAAGGAGGCCTGGGCAGCCCCATGCTGGCTCTAGCTTCCTGGACTAGGTCTGGTGGGAAGAAGGAGTTGTGGGTCAAGTCTCACATCAGAGGACACAAGTCTCAAGAGCCAGCAAACCACTTCCCATCAGGATCCTGGCTGGGTTGCTTATGGCCCCTCCTATCCACCAAACACATGACTGTGCCACTGAAAAGAGAGGGTGGGTACCTGTGGCCCTTCCCAGCAGGGAGCCATGTAAGGAATTAGGGCTGGGTTTCCCCTCTGGTAATCTGAGCTCTTGACCTCAGCAGTGTTTCTTCATTGCCATAGAAACTGCATCCACATTGGGCCACTCAGGCCCCAGGCATTCCCCAACAGGCCAGACATACTCACTTCAAGCCTAGGTATGGCCAGGAGCCCCAGAGACCAAGACCAGGACATGACCTTCAGATATCTCCACTCCCACCTCCTGATACTCCCAGCTTTCTGAACAGCCTGACTTTCAAATTCCAGTTGTGTCCTTCACTAGCTATTTCACCTCTGCCCATTTATCTTGGCTGAATCTCGGTTTCCTCCTGTGTAGAATAGGGATAATGTCTTGGTGGGGGTTGTTATAAGATATAAATAAAACTAATTGGTTGGCACATGTCTGGCGTATAGTAGTATCTCAATAAGAACTTTTTTTTTTCATGCTTGGTTGGACAGGGCAGGTTGAGTGAATCCACGGGCCCTGTCCTGTTTCTTCTTTCAGCTTCTGCTCTGTTCTCTCCAGAATGGTGGTCTTACAGGAGAGGGGAAGATACCTCTCATCTCCTCTATTCCCACCTACTCTCTGTGGGACCCCACACATTTCCCCCTCCCTTGGGTAGCAATATGTTGCAAAGGGAAGTTGGCTAGGCTTCAGTATCCTCAACTCTCCTCACACAACAGCCCCCACACCTCAGTTCCTCTATTCTGTCCCAAGACTCAATTCATTCATTAATTCTACTGACCTCTACACTAAGTACCTACTGTGTGCCCTCAGACCCTTGTGCTGTGGGCATGATGATAAGCAAACATCCACATAGCTGGACATGTTCATGTCATCTAGTCCCCTGGGTCATGTCATACATGTCATCTAGTCCCCTGGGTCAATCTCACTTAGCTATGATTTGTTGTTCCCATTTTGCAGACATGGTAATTAAGGCCTAAGAAGTCATAAGCCAGAAACAACATAGTCAGCCAGACACACCTGGTAGAAAGCTTTAGAGACCTAAAACCTCACCCTCCAACCCAACCCTGTACCCATGTCCTCAGACGGCACCTGGATTCCAGAAAGTTCTCTGGGCACTAGCCCCGGATTCACAGATGGTGTCTCTGCAGGCAGCCAGGGGCCAGGCACAGATGAGTCAAGACTGACAAGGGGACTATCTTGATATGCCAGCTGTGACATGATCAGCTTGATATCCCTTGCCCACTGTGGCCTGGCTGGATGACTCAGTGACATCTGCCTCCCCCATGACCTCCCACACCCAGCTGAACATAGACACCTTTGAGAGATAGGGCTGTCAGTGCAGAGGTATACACGTGGTGAAGCTTACAGCAAAATAGTGGTGGTTGGGAAGGCTCACTGGGGCCTGAGGGGCCCTGGTCACTTTGCCTCTCTGGAGCACTGAGCTTCTCCATCTGTGGAAATGAGTGGTACAATGCCTGGAAGATCACCTGAAATGGGCACAGATCCATTTTAAATCTCCATAGAGCAGTCCCAAGCAAGTATCATGACTATCTCCACGTAACTCATGAAGAAACTGGGTGACCTGTGCTGAGGTTTCACCTCTCTGAGCTTGGGCAGCCAGATCTTGTTCACTAGGTGATGAAGCCACTCCTTCCTGGAATTGGGGGCTGGGGTGGGCATAGGCCCCCCCCATTCATGCAATAGTGCCCCCTGCCAGCTGAGCTGTACCTGCTAAACTGCTTAGGTTCCTCTTTACTCCCTAGCTGGAGGTCTTGGGGAGTAAATTACTTATTCTAGTTCATTTCCTCTCTGCAAAATAGGGGTAATAAAGAGTAGCACCCTGGCTGGTTTGGCTCAGTTGTTAGAGTGTTGGCCCACAGACCAAAGAGTCACGGGTTTGATTCTGGTCAAGGACACATACCGCAGTTGCGGCGGTTTGTCCCCAGCCCTGGCTGAGGTCCTGTGGGAGGCAACCAGTCAATGTGTCTCTCTCACATATCTCTCTCTCCCTCTCTCCCTCTCTTTCTCTCTTCCTCCCTCCCTTCCCTCCACTCTAAAGATAAATGAATCCTCAGGTGAGGATTAAAAAAAAAGAGTAGCAACTGCCACACAGCTGAATCAAGAATTGCCAGACTAGGTAGTATATGTAAAGTTCTTTTCGGGACAGGCCATGTTGTCAGCCGGCCATGAAGAAGATTTGCCAAATGCCCAGGCTCCCTGCTGAGGCCTCTGGAGGTCTCTGCCCACAGTCATGTCTGAGCGTCAGCAGGGATAAGGTGGGCAGCACAAGGCTTCTAAATTTCTTCATTTATCCTGAGAAAGAAACCAAGACAGGGAATTGGGCATTACAGCTCCTAACTGGCTGATCTAAGGTCTAAGCCCCAGCATCTGTCCTGATGACCTACTGTGCTCTGGTCACAGGGCCAGGGAAGCAGAGGCCCCAGACCTGAGTACCTGAAGTACCATGCACCTCCAGGGGGACTGGTAGAGAAGGTGCTTTAGGTTCCTTTCAACAGAGAAACCTGCTGTCACTGCCCTGACCAGGGGACTAGATTGAGCATCGCCAACAGTGCAACAAGCTGGCATCACATACCTACTGATGGATGCACACCTACAGCACCCCTGGGCACGGTTCTCATCAAAAACTCAAACCATACCCACTGGTTTGGCTCAGCGGTTAGAGCATCGGCCTGAAGTCCAGAGAGACCCAGGTTCGATTCCCACTAAGGGCATGTACCTCAGTTGCAGTTTGTCCCTGGCCCTGGTTGGGTCGTGTGGATGGCGACCACTCGATCTGTCCCTTTCACATCGATGTTTCTCCCCCCACCCCTCCCATGCTATCTGAACAAAAAAATGGAAAAATGTCCTCGGGTGAGGATAAAAACAAAAAACAATTCAAACCATGCCCAGCCAGTGTGGCTCAGTGGTTGAGCATTGACCCATGCACCAAGAGGTTGCCAGTTTGATTCCCAGTCAGGGCACATGCCCAGGTTGTGGGCCCATCCCCAGTGGGGGGCATGTAGGATGTGGCCAATCAATATTCTCTCTCATAGATGTTTCTATCTCTCTCTCTAAAAATCAAAAAAGAAAAAAAACCCTCAAACCTGAACTCAGTCAACTTCTAGTTTACAGGAAACACAGCAGACAAAGGAACAAATCAGACTGTGGTACTTCTCCAGGACAACTTAACTGGACTTTTCAAAAAAGTCAGTGTTAAGAAAAATAAAAAGGTGGGGGTTGGGAAGAAGAGTGAGAACCAAATGCAAATACATAAACCTTGATTGGAGCCTAATTAAAAGAAACAAGTATGAATGTTATTTTAGAGAAATTCACATATGACAGGATATTAGATGGTGTTAGAGAACTGTTCATATTTGGCCAGATAACAGTACTGTGGTGACACAGGCTTACTCTTAGGAAACATGGGATGAAATATTACTTAGATGTGAAGGGTCATGTGTATGCAGGTTACTGTTAAATATATTTGTATTATACACACACACATAAATAAAACCAATGCTGCAGCATATTAACAACTGTGGAATCCAGATGGGGGTATACAGATGTGTTCACTATACTACTCTTTCCAAATTTTTGGTATACTTGCAACTTTTCCTAATCAAACCACTGGGAGAAATGTTTTTTAATGAACCGAAGCTCATTGACCTGGTCTGTATAGGCATTCACCATGACATCCCTCCCTTCAAACCCCAAGTGACCCCACTAAGATGAAAGACTCAGAGGCATGCTGGGAAATGAATATAAATTAAGGGTTTATTACAAAATGCAAAATGTGACCTTCTTGTTGCCAGTGATTCAAGAAAACAAGGCCATGAGCCCTAGGTGAGGCTGGGGGTGAAAAGCCAGGCTCAGGAGCGAGTCGACAGGCACTGGTTCACAACCTCCAGCAAATGGGTGTTCTCCAGGGCAGCTGCCACCCGCTCCTTATCTGCAAGTTGCTTGTTCACTGGACAGGAAGAAGGGAGTGGTAAAATTATACATATATATATCCCCACCAACAACCCCCTCACCTCCTTCCCAGGACCCCAAGCCTCAATCAGGCTACTATAACCACCTAAGCCCACACCTGGGATCCCTCCCACCTGGCTGCTCACATCTGCCTCCTGCACTATGAAACCTGACATACCCTGTCCTATGTAGTTAGGAGAGGGAGAGGACATGAGTAGGGGGAACATAGTAAGCACAGGAGACTCAAGTCAGTCCAGCTTCAGTCTAGGCTGCCACCTTCACTGAGTCACCCACCCAGCAGCCCCCACCCAACCTTTGCCCCACAAACCACCATGGCAAAGGGGAAGCCTTAGGGCCAATGCCTCAACACCAGCCCACACTTACCTGCATGTTCTGAGGCATGGGTCCCTGGTGTAATGTGCACGTCCATCTGGGAGGGAGACAGTCAGAGCCTGAGCACTCAACCACCTGTTTACCCCTTCTTTCCTCTCCCCCACACTCCACCTCCCAATCATACCTCTGAATTCTGGCCCTTCTAGTACACCCTAAACCCACTCACCCACTCCATTTCTATCCAAAGGCCTGCCTGTGCTCCATCCCTGCTCCAAACCTGTCTACAGCTCTCTACTGCCCTTCCTGAACCACTCCTCACTACTCTTTTGCACTTTCCAGCTCAAGCCTTTATTCCTGTTGTCCTCCCAGTTTCATCTCTGTTAGTTGGGATCTTTCCAGGTCTCACTCCGATGTCCATGTTCATGCTATTCATGTTCTCCTCAGTAGTAGATAATTACACTTGCCCCATCCACAGCACTCAGTTCCAACTTACCTTGAAACGCTGTGGAAGGGATCGCAGAAGCTTGACTTTGATGGACAGGCCAATGAGGGTAGCCATGCTGCAGTGAGGAATGGTGGGTGTGAAGGCCACGGCCACTGTGCTTTCGGGGTCGCTCACCTGGTTGGGGATGGCCTGTCAGAAGTCTTAGCCCTTCAGTCCAGAGTCCCTCTTAGGTTGTTGTTTCAGGTCATCTAACCTCTATGGGCCTCAGTTTTCTCATCCATAAAACAGGCACAATAATGCCCCCTCCCGAAGATCCCGAGGAGTTCCTGAGCTGAGAGAACGACAGCCCTTTAGTGCACAACTGAACCTTACAAGTCGCTCCTCTCGGATGCTGCATTGACTCACCTGAACCCGGACTTGCTCTACTACGTTCAATTCTTCTAGAGTCAGTGGATGCTCCGGGTCATTGATGGAGCGAATCAGATGTAGCAAGTGAAGGAAAAGGGACTCTGCACTTTTTCCCGCTCGAACCCACCGCAGGAATGCCTGGCCCTGACACAGCTACACTGACTACTGAACATCACTTCACCCCCTCCCAGGCCCCCGAGTTCCCGCCCGCGCCCGGCAGCCGCGGATATCGAAGATCTCGCGCGAGTCGATGCTGTCTGTAATCTGCTCGTCCTCCTCGCCCGCTGTCACCGGCCGCTCCCCAGAGCGCTCGTAGATGAGGGGGTTAGCGTTCTCCAAGAGGCCGCCGCCGCCGCCGCCCACCATCGCGGAACCGCTGCTGGTCACAGTTGCCGCTCACTTCCCTTCTAACGGCGCACTTCCGGGGACCGGGAAGGGGCGTGGCTGGGCGACGGGGTCGCGCGAGGGACACGCAGCCCGGCCCAGCCCTGCCCGTACTCGGCCTGGGGTTTGGCCTCCACGCTCTCTCTGCGCAGACCCGGTAAGGTGCGACTGTTTCAGCAAAGGCACAGAAAAGGCGACGCTGGGCGGTGCGAGCCGTAGCGTGTTGGACCAAGGCTGCTTCTCCTAGGCACTGAAGACCCGTCTGAAACTGCTGAGCCAGGCGTATCTTGAGGCATCACTTCCTCTGAAATGTCGGTTCATTAGGCTGGGTGGGCGCTCCCTGCCCAAAGTTGCCTCTATCCCTGGCATAGTTCACTCTGTTTCTGAACCTCCCGGGAACACGCCTGCATCCCCCGCTACACCCTGGGTCCGGGGGTGCGAGAAGGTGTTCTGAAGTGTTTGTTAAGTGAATAAATGACAGTGAACTTGATCTTGGCGGGAGATGGGGAGAGGGAAAGCCATGGTGTGGGCTTGGGATGTTAAGATTAGTGCCACGGTCTCGTGTGCATTTCAAAAGGCGGACCGTGGCCGAGTAGGGAGGGATCCGGCGGAGACCCTCAGGCCAGGAACAGACAATAGGGAATGAAGAACCTTGAAGGCAGACCCAATGCACATCCCTGAAAGCAAGGAGGGATTTGCAGAATGAAAAGCGGTCACACCTCCCTCCTTTCCTCTTGCGTCTCCCTTCACCCTGAACGAAGGTCGTTCCGGTTTCTGCATCAATGGGAATCTTGATCATGCATCTCCTCAAGGAGTTCTCGGTTCCTGGGTTCTTCCGGCTTGCAGCTCCCTCTCTCGTTCCCTCAACACCCTTGTTAGGTCTTATAAGAACAGTGAACTCAGGTTTGAGGAGAGAGTTCTTGATATTGCAGAGGAACTGCAGAAACCTCGTGGTCCCTTGCGAGGTGGCCAAGGGGACCCAAGCAGAGGGTAAGCGGCCGTTCCAGTGCCTGCCCACTTCTGGCCTTTGCCCGCACCGTGCCGCTCTCCTGCCAAACCCACCTTTCCGGGGCCCGACCCGGCACTCCCTGCCTAGTCCAAACTCTGGACCTGAGAGAGGCACTCACTGATCCGTGGCCAAACAGGCCCCAGGGCCGCTTCTCGTGTGTGTGTGTGGGGGGGGGGGGGGGGTGCGGGGGGGGGGGGCACTGTGCCCCGCGGTGAGCAGACAGACTTTGCCGCTGGATCGTCTTCCCGCGAAGCTGAGCGCAGTGGTGGGTGGATTCCGGCTTCTCCTCGTCTGGGGCCAGGGTGAGGCTTCCTCAGGGGTCGACAGAGACCTGGCCGGACTTGCCAAAGTCTGCAGAGGCAGGACCTGAGGCCGTGGGTGGGAAGGTTCCAGGGAGGAGGAAGCCGGTGAAGAACCATAGCTTGGGAACCCTGCACCAGACCCAAAGCTTGCAACCACCAGGTGTGGGCCCCCTGAGGCGCAGAGAGGGTTGTCCGAGGCGACCCAACACATCATCCAAGGGTGAACCGAGGCAGAGGGGCTCTGAGAAGAGTCTAAGGATATTTCCCTCCTAGTGTTTGTGGAACTGGCACTGCCCACAGGTAATAACATCTTCCCACTGCCATCTGGCTCCGAGTATTGAGCTTTTGGCTAGAGGGGCCCTGGCACCCACTGAGTGCTCCTCCAAAGGGGCTCCAGGCAAAATTACTGACACTCTGGTCATAGGGCTTCAGAAGCCCCCTGTCAGCCATATCCTAAAGCCTACAGACAGACCCCTTTGTTCTCTTCATCCCATGCACCTGCCCAGGAGAGACCTTATCTTGGCCTCCAAGTCAAAGGTCATGGCATTTTGTGCCAGCTTTGGGTTATGCAGCACCATACCTAGGGTGTTCACACCTCTTGCAACCCCTCTTGTAGGATATGATCTTCTCACCCAAAACAGCTGTGCCTGTGCAACCTACTTCCTTCCCAGTCAAATCTGCCCCAGAAACGTCCACATTCATGCCTCAAGCAGGGTCCACCCCATGGGGCTTCCATCCTTACCTCTGGCTAACAGGGCTCTTAGAACTCACTAGGACCTTTCACCACAAAGATCTGCTAGGCCTTGCCTGGCTGATGTGGCTCAGTGGTTGAGTTTGCTGATTTTATTCTCAGTCAGGAGATTGCTGATTCTACTCTCAGTCAGGGCAGGAGGCAGCCAGTCCATGTTCTCTCTCATCGATGCTCCTAATCTCCTTCTCCCTCTTCCTCTCTCTCTAAAATCAATAAAGAAAAAATAAACCTGCTAGGCCTCACTGATACCTCACTTTTATTTTTTTTATTATTTTTTTCCATTCTTTTTAAAAATTTTATTTATTTATTTATTTTATTTATTTATTTTTGTTACAGATGTTTCTCCTCCCCCCCCCCACTGATTCCCCCCTCCCCCTCCCTCCCTGCCCTGTCCCCAGCTTTGTTGTCCATGTCCATTGTTCATGCACACATGCATATAAGTTCTGTGGTTTATCTCTCCCCCACCACCCCCTCTTCTGGGGATTGTCAGTCTGTACCCCACTTCCACGTCTCTGGGACTACCCCATTCCTCAGACTGTTATGTTCATTATATTCCACAAATAAGTGAAATCATATGATACTTGTCTTTCTCTGTTTGGCTTGTTTCGCTTACGATAATACTTTCCAGGTCCCTCCATGTAGTCTCAAAGGATAAGAAATCTTTCTTACAGCTGCATAGTACTCCATTGTGTATATGTAGCACTGCTTTTTTTTTTTTTTTTTATCCTCACCCGAGGACATTTTTCCATTTTTTGTTCAGGTAGAGTGGGAGGGAGAGAGAGGAACAGAGAGAGAGAGAGAAACATCGACGTGAAAGGAACACATCGAGTGGCTGCCACCCGCACAACCGACCAGGGCCGGGGACAAACTGCAACCGAGGTACGCGCCCCTAGCGGGAACCGAACCCGGGTCTCTCAGGACCGCAGGCCGACGCTCTAACCGCTGAGCCAAACCAGCCAGGGCAACACTGCTTTTTTATCCATTCATCTACTGATGGACACTTGGGCTGTTTCCAGATCTTAGCTATTGTAAATAGTGCAGCTATGAACATGGGGGTACATATATTCTTCCTGATTGGTGTTTCAGGCTTCTTAGGGTATATTCCTAGAAGTGGGATCACTGGGTCAAATGGAAGTTCAATTTTTAATTTTTTGAGGTAACACCATATTGTTTTCCATAGTGGCTGCACCAGTCTGCATTCCTACCAGCAGTGTACTAGAGTCCCCTTTTCTCCACACCCTCACCAACACTTGTTGTTTGATGATTTGTTGATGGTGGCCATTCTGACAGGTGTGAGATGATACCTCATTGTTGTTTTAATTTGCCTCTCTCTGATGATTAGTGATGTTGAGCATTTCTTCATATGTCTCTTAGCCATTTGTATATCCTATTTGGAATCTTTATTGTTGAATGTATTACAGATGTTACTCATTTTTCCCCCATTAACCTCCTCCTCCCCACTCCCGCCTCCCTTATGCCATTTCCCAAACTGTTGTCTGTGTCCATTGGTTATGCATATATGCATATAAGTTCTTTGGTTTATTTCTTCCCACCCCCCCAAATTCCCCTTCCCTTTGAGGTTTGTCAGTCTAGCAACCAATTTGTTCTTCTTAATTCCTTCACCTTTTTCACCCATTCCTCCAACTCCCCTTCCATCTGGCAAACAATTTATTTATTTATTTATTTTAAATCTTTACTCTTGAATGTCAATGAGGAACATCTGTAATACATTCTACATTCAACAGTTATCCTCCCCACTCCCGCCCCCCTCCAGCCTTTTCCCACATTGTTGTCTGTGTCCATTGGTTACATATAAGTTTTTTGGTTTATTTCTTCCCATCTCCCAACCCCCTTCCCTTTGAGGTTTGTCAGTCTAGCAACCAATTTGTACTTCTTAATCCCTTCACCTTTTTCACCCATTCCCCCAACCCCCTTCCCATCTGGCAACCAACAAAATGTTCTCTGTATCTATGAGAATGTTTCTGTTCTGCCTGTTCATTTTGTTTGTAGATTCCATTGTCAATAGATATGTATTCATTGCCATTTTGTTTGTTCATATATTTTATCTTTTTCTTCAAAAAGACCCTTCAACATTTCATATAATAATGGTTTGGTGGTGATGAACTCCTTTAATTTTTTCTTGTCTGGGAAAGTCTTTATATGGCCATCGATTCTATATGCCAGCTTTGCAGGATCGAGTAATCTTGGTTGTAGGTTCTTGCTTTTCATCACTCTGAATATTTCTTGCCACTCCCTTCTGGCCTGCAAAGTTTCTTTTGAGAAATCAGCTGACAGCCTTATGGGAGCTCCCTTGTAGGTAACTAGCTGCCTTTCTCTTGCTGCTTTTAAGATTCTCTTTTTGTCTTGAACCTTTTGCATTTTGATGATGATGTGTCTTGGTGTGGGCCTCTTGGGGTTCATCTTGTTTGGGACTCTCTGTGCTTCCTGGACTTGTATGTCTGTTTCCTTCACCAAGTTAGGGAAGTTTTCTGCCATTATTGTTTCAAATAGGTTTTCGATTTCTTGTCCTCTCTCTTCTCCTTCTGGCACCCCCAAGATGCGAATGTTGGCACACTTGAAGCTGTCCCAGAGGCTCCTTACACTATCCTCATTTTTTGGATTCTTTTTTCTTTTTGCTGTTCTGATTGGGTGTTTTTTGCTTTCTTATATTCCAAATCGATGGTTTGTTTCTTGGCTTTACCTACTCTACTATTGAATCTGTGTAAATTATTCTTTATTTCAGTTAGTGCCTCCTTTATTTCTGACTGGTTCTTTTTTATGCTCTTGAGGCACTCACTAAGTTCGCTAAGGTTCTCACTAAGTTCATTGAGCATGTTTATAAGCAGTATTTTGAACTCAGCATCTGTTAGGTTGCTTATCTCCATTTTGCTTAGTTCTTTTCCTGGAGTTTTGTTCTGTTCTTTCATTTGGGACCTGTTTCTTTGTCTCCTCATTTTGGCTTCCTCCCTGTGTTTGTTTCTTTGTATTACGTAATGAGAGGTATGGGGCTAGCTGAGACCAGGTGCTGCTTGTTTGAAAGAATTTAGGAAAACCTGAAGCAGGATCCGAGAAAGGCCAATCCTATGGTTAAGCAACTGGCAACAGCTTGGGTGGGTCTGAAAGTTGGGTGGGGCGGGGCCTCAGGGAATTACCAGGGCGGGGCAACCAGTGTGAGCCAGGTTGCTGGAGTCCCAGATATGGCTGATGTCTGCCACCCCATGACACCTCGCTTTTAAAATGTTAATATTTTGGCCCAGGCTAGTGTGGCTCAGTGGATTGATAAGCATCTCATGGACTGAGAGGTCCCTGTTCAATTTCCAGTCAGGGCACACACCTGTGTTGTAGGCTCACTCTCCAGTAGGGTGCATGCAGGAGGCAGCCAATGGGTGTTTCTCATATTGATGTTTCTATCTCTCTCTCTAAAAAATTAGTAAAAACATATTTTTTTGTTGTTCAGATAGAGTGGGAGGGAGAGAGAGGAAGAGAAAGAGAGAGAAACATTGACGTGAAAGGGACACACCGAGTGGCTGCCATCCGCACAACCCAACCAGGGCCGGGGACAAACTGCAATGGAGGTACACGCCTTTAGCGGGAACCGAACCAAGGTCTATCTGAACCACAGGCCAACGCTCTAACCCCTGAGCCAAACTGGCCAGGGCATAAAAACATATTTTTAAAAAATAGAAATGTTAATATTTTGGATTGGACCCATGTTCAGAAAGAAATAATTGACAAGCCATATAATGGCAAAGATAATGGGTCAGGCCCTCTTCTGTTCCACCCTTCACAGGGACCAAGATCCCCAGGGCCTTCCACACACTGCCCAGGAGTTTACCCAAGAATGGATAGGTGCATATATCCTTGGTTTTCACCTAAATGGTCACAAATTTTCTCCCTTTCTGGCACCCTGCTTTTCTACTTCTTGACATTGGAGGTAACCACCCCATATCCCCAACTAATAGAACTCCTCATGCTGTTTAATGGGAGACCTTCTCTTCAAGGAGGAAGCCTCCTTGATGTAACTAGTCTCCCTCCAATCAAAGACATTTCAGCAGGTTTTGTCCTTTGCTATAAAAAACATCAAGCACTAGAGGCCAGTGGCAGCAGTGAATTACATGAACAGACGTCACATCTGCAAGGAACTGTATAGAGAGCATATTAATCTGGAGAGGGGTGAGCCTTTTTACTTGGAAAGGCAGTGCTCTATTACCCTCTGTGGGACTGTGAGTAGCTGCTGACTCTGGCCTCATCCACACCACACAGCCTCTTGGGGTTCATCTTGTTTGGGACTCCCTGTGCTTCCTGGACTTGTATGTCTGTTTCCTTCACCAAGCATCAATCATTTTGATCCATGTTGATCTGATAGGTGTTGGGTAGGATAAATCCCTGAGGATTTTGTTTTTGTTTTTTACTTTTCATTATGAAACCAGACTCAGATTTGCCAAATTCTGCAGAGGCAGAACCCGAGCATATAGGAGGGAAGGTGCCAGGGAGGTGGAAACCAGTGGAGATAACACCAGGGGACCCCAAAACCTGACTAGGTACCTCCCTGCACTCTGAGGCACAGAGAGGGTGGGGGCTGCCGAGACCACACAGCACAAGGGGCTCCCCATCTGAGGTAGAGAGATTAATATAACAAACCCAATGTACCCATGATCTACCTTTAATAATTATCAAAACCTGCCCTGGCCAGTTTGGCTCAGCTGTTGGAGCATCTGCCCATGGACCAATGAGTTGCAGGTTTGATCCCTGTCAGGGGCATGTAATTCAGTTGCGGTTTGTCCGCAGTCCTGGTCCAGGTTTTGTGGGAGGCAATTAGTTGATGTGTCTCTCTCACATCAATGTCTGTCTGTCTGTCTGTCTGTCTGTCTCTCTCTCTCTCTCCCTCCCTCCCCCTCGCCCACCCCCTCCCCTCCCTCCCACTCTATCTGAAGATAAATGGAAAATAAATAAATAAAAATAATTGTCAAAACCTAGTTTTGTCTTCCTTGCACTGTTATTTGAACAAATCCCAAACATTATATCACCTGTAAATTTCCATGCCCTACTAAAAAAACAAGTTTGTGAACATTTATATATATAGTTTGTGAACATTTATATATATATATATATATATATATATATATATATATAGTGTCTGTGTGTGTGAACATTTATATATATAAATGTAATCAAATATCTAGTCAAATGTTCTTATTTCAGATTATCTCATATTTACAGGGTTTCTTTGTTTGTTTGTTTTTGTTTTTTTAATCCTCACCAGAGGACATTTTTCAACACTTTGTTGAGATAGAGTGGGAGGAAGAGAGAAAGAGAGAAACATCGATGTGAAAGGGACACATCGAGTGGCTGCCACCCACACGACCCAACCAGGGCCGGGGACAAACTGCAACCGAGGTACATGCCCTTAGCGGAAACCGAACCCGGGTCTCTCCGGACCACAGGCTGATGATCTAACCGCTGAGCCAAACCGGCAGGGCTTTACAGGGTTTTTTTGTTGTTGTTGTTTTTTTGTTGTTTTTTGTTGTTTTTTTTTATCCTCACCCGAGGACACCCCTCCATCTTTTGTACAGATAGAGTGGGAGGGAGAGAGAGGAAGGGAGAGAGAGAGAAACATCGATGCGAAAGGGACACATCGAGTGGCTGCCACCCGCACGACCAACCAGGGCCAGGGACAAACTGCAACCGAGGTACGTGCCCTTAGCAGGAACCGAACCCGGGCCTCTCTGGACCGCAGGCGGATGCTCTAACCGCTGAGCCAAACCGGCCAGGGCTTTACAGGGTTTTTTAAAATCAGAATTCAAATTAGGATCATACTTTGAAAATTGGTAGATGTGGTTTTTTTTTTTAATAACAGCTTTGAGAAATAATTCACATAGCTTACCATTTACTCATTTAAAGTGTACACTTCAATGATTTTTAGTATATTTAGTATATTCAGAGTTCACTACATCAGTCCCCCTTTTCCCCCGATCCCTACCCCAACCTCAGCCCTAGACAACCAGCAATCTACTTTCTGTCTCTATAGATATGCCAGTTCTGAACATTTCATGCAAATGGAATCATTCAACATGTGGTGCTTTGTGACTGGCTTCATTCACTGAAAGAAAATTCATCCATTTTGTAGCATATTCAGTATTTCTTTTATTTTTCTTGCTAAGCAATATTCCATTGGGCATATAGAATATTTTATTGATCAATGGACATTTGGATAGTTTCCACCTTTTGGCTATTATAAATATAAATACTCCTGCTATGAATATTGCTGTACAGTTTTTTGTGTGGACAAATTATTCTCTTGGATTTATACCTAAGAATGAAATTGCTAGGTCATATGTTAACTGTACATTTAACCATTTGAAGAACCACCAGACTTTTTTCCCCCGGGCATTTTACCTTCTTGCCAGCAATGTATGAAGGCTCCAGTTTTTCCGGACCGCAGGCTGACGCTCTAACCGCTGAGCCAAACTGGCCAGGGCAAGGCTCCAGTTTTTCTACATCCTTATCAATATTTGTTATTTATCTTTTTGATGTGTTTTGTGAGTCTCTTTCAATCTTCAGATTCCTCCTCTGCTTCTCTTTTATATTCCTTGTAATTTTGTTGTTGTGTTGAAAAAACCAGTTTATTGTTCTTTAGGGGATCCCAGAGTTTGTATTTCGCTGATTACATCCCAATCGGTCTTTTAACTGTTTCTCTGCCCCCTCTATGTCTGTAAACTTGAATTTACATTCTAGAAGCGTGATCAGATTCAAGTTTTAGGTTTTGCTTTTTGTTTTGGGGTAAGACTACTTCATATGTGGTGTTGTGGACCTCCAATAGAAAATGTACAATGTCTGATTATCCTGCTTTTTTTGTGACAAAATAAGTTGTTGACATCACAAATTTCAATGTGTATTTCTGTTAGCAAAAGTGAAGTAAACATCTCTTCATTTGTGTAAGAGCGTTTTATGTGTATTTCTTATTCTGTATGAACATATTATTCCACCATTTCATATTCTTTCACCAAATATGCACACCTGGCACATTTCTTACTTATATGTAGAAAATTTTTATTTACTAAGAATATCAGATCTTTCTTTGTTGGGTGACTTTCAATCTCTTCCTCCCTGATCCCTATAGCAGGGTCGGCTGCGCTTCTTACATTCTAGACACAGCTGCACTTTTGTAGTTCTCCATATAATATCATTCCTTGTTTGGAGGTTGCTTCCTTTATGTCATTTCTTGCCACCTAGAACATGAGATCCCTAGGACAGCAACCTTGTCTGTCCAATTTGCACAGTTCTCCTAGTTGTCATATGACCTGGCACAGTCAGTGGAAAGGACACTCTCAATCCATCAAGACCATTTGCTTGTAACTCCTGGGACTAATCCACAGTGCCAAAACCCAAGGAGCCTCACTGAGTGTGGTGGAAAAGGCTTGGGCTGGACCCTATGAAAGCAGTAGGGAGTGGAAGTTGGGGCAGGGTGATAGGCTGGAAATTTATAAAGCAAATGTTTATAGAATAGAATCCCTTGGGCTGAGCTGAGAACTGGATGGAGGCAGCAACATCAATAATCTGCAAGGGTAGGCTCTGGCCTGGTGGCTCAGTTGGTTAGATATCATCCTGATAAACCAAGGTTGTGGGTTTGATCCCTGCATAAATATGAATGCATAAATATGTGGAACAACAAATCATGGGCAAGTGGAATGGTTCCTCTGGATGAGACCTCTGAGCATCAGGGAAGTTGGAACAATTTCAAAATTGCAGGACTCCACACACAATACTTTGTGAAATTTGGGGTGCACCTGCCCCTATTGGGGGCCTTCAGCAAACTCCTCTCCCCTACCTGGAAGGATGATCCAGTCCCTGCCTCTTCTCTTTACAGATGGTGGCCAACCTATCTGCTTGTGTCCATGTTGAATTAAAGGCCCTGGTGGACTGCCTGTGGGGCAAGAGTGAAGATGAGATTCTGACCACCGGCAAGGTCAGGGTGAACAGACATGTATGTAGAGGAAGGGAGCCAATAGGTGTGGGAGGCAGTACCCTTCATACTCCCCGGGGAAGTTACTATATTTTCATTCCTTGGTGTCCTCAAAGCCCTGGAAGGGAACTAGAGGCCAGGCCATGCTAGCCAGGCATGGAACCTCCTAGGGTGGATGTGAACATCCTGAGATGAGCCAGGAAAGGGTGGAAGGCACACAGAGGGCATCAGAAAACTTCTGGGAACTTGACCTTGGGTTCCCCCTAAGTGCTTAAAGATCATCCCCAGTGTGGTGGATGGGACCTTCCTGCCTAGGTACCCACAAGAGCTGCTGGCCTTTGCTGACTTTCAACCTGTCCCCAGCATCATTGGTGTCAACAATGACTATAGTTGTCTCATCCCCTAAGTGAGGCCCTCCCCCAATCCTCCAGGTGCTGGGAAGCCCATTCTGTGGGGAGGCCTCAGGGCTTCATAGCTCCAGGCCCAATGTACCCCCAACTTGAGACTTACCAACTATTCAGGGCTTGAAAATCTGTGACACCTGGAAGGAAATGGACAGAGAGACATTGAAGGCTGTTCTGCAGAAAATGTTAACAATGACTGTGAGGCTCCTGGAGTCCTGTTCCAGTGGAGAGGGATTCCTCCCCTGTCCCAAGGCAGGAGAAACCTAACCCCCAGATATTTTGTCCATGTAGTGTCCCCCATGAGTAAAGCCTGGGCTCATCCCAGAGGTTGGCCCCTCCCCCTCATTCTTATCCCATCCCAGGATCCATCTCCCCAACCCTGACCCTGCTGCCTCCTTGCCCCTGCCAGCTTGCCTAACCTGACTCTTCCTGACCCACATGGGAAGATGTTGCCTCCTGAGTTTGGTGATCTATTTCTGGAGGAGTACATGGGAGACAGAAGGGAACCCCAGACCCTCCAAATCCAGTTCCATGAGATGATGAGGGACTCCGTCTTCATGATCCCTGAATTCCAAGGCACAAATTTTCAGCATGAGCACATCTGTAACTAAGGCCAGACCAGCAAGAGGGTGGCTCAGAGCTGCAGGTTCCAGGTGAGGTCTGTTGGTGTCTAGGTCCCAAACTGTGTCTATTTATTGAGCCCCCAGGTACCAGGCACTTGATGTCCCTCATCTTGGTAAATCTTCATTGCTAGTCTAAAATACATTTTCCCCATTTTACAGATGAGAACACTGAGGTTCAATGACCTTCAGTAACTTGCTCAAAACCACACTCTAGTAAATCCAAGACTATAATTTAAACCCAGGCTCTTCCTACTGCCCCTGCTCCAGCCTGGAGCTCCCGCACCCATTGTCCAGATTCCAGATAGTTTTGGACCTAGCTATTTTATAACCATGGGTGATACAAGAAAGCTCCAGGTGAGGGGCCACCATGTCACGACCTGTCTACCCCACCCTCTAGGTTCCCATGCCCCAGTCTATTGCTACGAATTCTAGCATCAGCCCAGCTTCTTCAAGGACAGCAAGCCAGCCAGCCCATGTGAGGGCAGACCATGGTGATGAGATGTTCTTTGTCTTTGGAACCTCTTCCTGGAGCTACCACAGTAAGTCTTCCTCGATGGGGTTCCTCAGAGGCTCCTCATTTCCAGGACGTGGAATGGGATGTTGGCTGGATCCCTGAATGAGGGTGATTGCCCCCACTGTACAGATGAGGAAACTGAGACTCAGAGAAAAACAGGATTGGGTGTCCAAGATTTTACTGCTAGAAAGGCTGAGCTAGAATTAGAGTCCAAGACTCTTCAGACTGGGGCCTGTGCACCCTTCACTTCTCCCCACCCTGACCATGGGTGTCTGGCATGAATGCAGAAGGGGGTATTTCAAAGGCATATTTGTTTATTAAGTACCTCTCCAGTGTCGGAAGGAAGAATGGGGCCTTTTGAGCCAGGAATGAGCCTTGTGTCAGGTCAGCTGGAGGCTGAGATTAGTACATGGGATTTGGGCAAGGAGGGGACCTGGATCCCCAGGGATGTGGGGAGCAAGCAGAAAGCCAGGACTGGGAGGGCAGGGGAAGAGTCAGTGATAAGGGAGGCCTGGGATGGTGAGTGTGATGGGGCATGACATGTGTCTGGACTGGGGTTGGCCCTGATCTTGACCCTTGTCCTCTTGGTCTCTGTAGTTGAAGTCACTGAGGAGGAGGAGCTGCTGAGCAAGAAAATTATGAAGTACTAGGCCAACTTTGCTCCAATGGGTGAGATGTTACACTCCTACCTCAACCTCCAGGAGCGGCTTGAACTAGCTGGGGCCTCCTTTGTCTGTGGTGAACTCATTAGCATATATGTGTCTTTAATTATATGGTGCCCTTTCCCAGCATCAGGACCACATGGACAGAGAGGGGCCTTGTGATGCTAGACATTCAGTCTATCACTGGATGACCTGGAGGGGTGGAAACAGTGCTGTGTTATATTACAGGGAGAACCACCCTCTGACAAGAAGGGACAAAACAGCCCTGGTCACCCTGCCCTCTGGTGGAGCTGACATTCTAGCAAAAGTTTGTTTCTTTCCTACTTCTGAAAACGTTTCCCTCTCTTCCCCCAAGCATACCTGGCCTGTTTGGCTACTTTGCCTGAGTCAGGATACTCAAGTCTGGGCTTGGTAGAGCTCAGGAGGACCCTGTGCTGCCCTGCCAGGAGGGCATGTGCACAGGAACCCCAACACTGAGGGGCTGCCCCCTTGGCCTGTATAACCAGGAGGAGCAATACCTGCAGCTGAACACAGCCTGCAGTGGGCCAGGCCCTGAAGGCCCACAAGCTCCAGTTATGGATGACAACCCTGCCTCAGAAGATCCAAGAGCTAATGGAGGCCAAGGACAAGCACACAGAGCTGTAGCTCTCTGTGTCAGGGTGGGAGGGTGGGCTTGCAGGCAGATGGGCTTTGCTGCATGTGCCCACACATACCCACCGAGGAGCCAGTAGTTTATTCCCTCCTTCACATAACCATTCATTCATTCTTCCATCCATCCATCCTTCCATCCATCCATCCATCCATCCATCCGCCCAGCAAACATTGATTAAGAATAAATAATTAGCCCTGGCTGATTTGACTCAGCGGTTAGAGCGTGGGCCTGCAAACCAGAGAGTCCAGGGTTCTGTTTCTGCTAAGGGCACGTACCTCAGTTGCAGTTCGTCCCCGGCCCTGGTTGGGGTTGTGCAGGTAGCAACCAGTCAGTGTGTCTCTCTCACATCAATATCTCTCTCTCTCTCTCTCTCTCTCTCTCCCTCCCACTCTATCTGAAGATAAATGCAAAAATGTCCTCAGGTGAGGATAAAAAAAAAGAATAAATAATTGACATTAGTTGCCAAGCCTGCTGTGGGTCCTCTCTTGTTAGACACATTCAGTAAAGCTGTGGAAGGGCAGATGCCAATGGAAGTTCACTTCCCCAACACCCCTCTGGGTTTAGACCCCATCTTCCCTTCCCCACCTCTACCCCCTTCCCACCTTCTCTTCTCTCCCTTGAAAGAGAGTTATTTGGGGAATGTTGCCCACACCTGGCTCTCAGCAAGCCCTACATACTCTCATATCTGTAAGTGGCTAATAGAAAACCTAAACACCAGGAGCCTGAGAGCTCCACAGAAGCTACCAACTACTGAGAATATAAAGTCTCTGGCCCCACCCAGTATCCCCCTAGATTAAATGTCATATATCATTGAATTTAAACAACCCACCCACTCACTTATTGTGTCTCACAGAGGTGACCATAACCATTTATGTAAGAAGTAGGAATGGGCTTGTCCGTGAGGCCCTGGAGCCTGAGCCAGCTGTGGTGGCCAGGATAACCAAATGGGTTCCTCTGTCACCTGCCTCCTAAAGGTTGCCTTTATGCTTAGTGGTTCCGCAGACATTGTAGGGCCAAAACTTACATGATTATAGCACATCCAAGATGTTTGTCTATGGGATGTTTCCTAGAAGTAGGATTGAGGGTCCAGAAGGTTCAGAAGACACTCTTGTACCTGGGTCTCAAGTGCCTCTCCATTCAGGGAGTTCTCCTCTTGCCTTTTGGAATTCCCCTTGTCAACCACCACCACCCCATTGCCCCCTCTGCTGAGCATCCCCCAACTTACTGTGGGTATCCACATGATTAGTTTTTCTACTTATCTCATTATTTTCCATAAACTTTTTCTCCCCCCATTTATCCTTGCCTCTCCCCCAAAAAAATACTCTCTCTCACGTTTCATTCCAGTGTGCAGTTACTGCATTGTATTCACTTGGCCTCTCTGTTCCACCAAAGCACTTTCTCTCTGTCACTAAGAAGCTATTTCTCTCTTCTCACAGATGCAAAACTCCCTTTGTGCTCCTAATTTTGATCAACTTGCCTTCTCCATGCACTTCATGTATTTGATTTCCCAGGAGTAAAGTATCCTTTCTTTCCCTCCATTGCATTTAAGCCCAACCATAGAGCCTCTTGAAACTGGGCTTGAAGAATGAAGATTCCTACACCTCCCACTCTGGCCACCTGATGGCAGACAAGGATAATTTTAAGCCTGGACTGACTTGAACTTGGCAAAGAGCTTTCCTTATAGTAAACACTGACTGGCACTTCCCCTGCATCCTGAAAGCATCTGTTGAGCACCTATTGCATGCATGTATCAATATGTCTTTCAGTCCTGCTGATGCACAATATACTTCCCAAAAGTGGGTTTCCAGAACTAGTTTTTAGGACTTATCTCAGTAATATTTTTTTAAAAAACAGATTTACTGTGGAATAATTTACATACAATTAAATTCAACCATTTTAGGTGTACAATTTGATAAATTTGGGTAAATGTATTAGACACAAAAACACCATCACATCAAGTTTTACTTTTTATTTATTCTTTTTAGGTATGTGCCCCTAGCGGAAACCGAACCCGGGACTCTGGTCCACAGGCCACTGAACCAAACCGGCCAGGGCCACGTCAAGTTTTAGAACACTTCTATTGCTCCAAAAAGTTCATTCACGTCCCTTCGTAGTCAATGACTGCCCTGACCCTGATCCCACGCAATCACCAAATTACTTTGTTACTATAATTTTCCTTTTCTAGGATGTCATAGAAACGGAATCATATTTTACTGAATTCTGTAACTTAGCATAATGTTTTTGAGATACAATGAACATTTCTCTTTGATTGCTGAGTAGTATTCCATATATTATATACCACATTTTATCCATTCAAAGTTGCTATGAACATTTTCAGATGAGTTTTTGTATGAAAGTATGCTTTCCTTTCTTTGGGGTAAATAGCTAAGAGTGGAATTTCTGGGTCATATGGTGAGTATATGCTTAACATTTCAAGAAAATGCCAAACTGTTTTCTAAAGTGACTACCATTTTTGCATCCCTACCAGCCACATATGAGGGTTCTAAATGCTCCATACCCTTGCCAACATTTAGTCTTATGTCTTTTACATTTGATTAATTTTAATGGGTATGTAGTGGTATCTTGTGATTGGTTCCTGTTGCGCGCTCTCTCTCTCTCTCTCCACCCCACTCTCCATCCACCTCATGGATCAAAGTTAAAGGAGAGGATTCAGAAAACTGTACTGGTTATTTTTGGCAGGAGAGAAGTTTTCTCTGAAGGCTCTCTAGCTCTAAGTGCCAGTTGGAACCCCAGGAGAGGACCTGGCATCGTGTCTAGGCATGACCCTCGCCCTGTCCCTCATTGAGCCAGTACTCCCAACTGTTTGAATTAGCAAATATTTACTAGTGCCTCACACTCTCCACCCATCCTCTCATACCCAGCTCCCAGCCCGTCATGTTCCTGACACTGAGGCTCAGAAGCTAGTCCTGCCCTCCCTTGGGGCAGGGGATTTCCCAAGCCAGCAGGGAGATTGGCCTCCAAATTGTATGTCCTTCCCCCTCCAGAATATGCTCTCATATCTAGAGTGGGTTTTACAACTTCTGGAATTGAGGTCTAGTGGCTGACAGAGGGGGCAGGACTATGATTCTAATAGGTAGCAAGACTGGCAAGAGAGGCCTAGAGTGAGGGGTTTTGCAAGGTGACAGCTTTAGACCATAGTAGCACAGCCCACAGAGGGATGACAAGGTTCAGTGTTGCTCACTCAGATACCAGCACAAGCCCCCTCTGTGCTTCAGGCCTGGATACTGGAATGGGCAGCGTGCACAATGCTGCCCCAACCAGACTCCAGGGCCTCACCCCCCACCCCGACTCCTCACTGGTTGGGTCTGCAGGTGAGAGGGGCATGTAGAATTGAGCTTTCCTACCCATGGAGGTCAGTATCCAGGCCATCCTTCTTCCTGGTCTATAGGGCCCACTACACCCCACACCCAAAAAAGTGAAGACTGAGTCTGGTCATAATTCCCCTTGGATCCCCTTGAGCAGCGGTGGGAGCACTGGGCCCCCCAGGTCTCCTAGGAAACCAGGCCACCCTGGGAGCAGACTCAGAATCAGCACAGGGGTCTCAGAGCAGCTTGACAGGTGGGTGGTCAGAGTACCATCACCTCTGTCTGGTCCCATCTCCTGAGGAGACTTCTGTGTGGCAGATAAGGGATGAGGCAGAATCAGGGCAAGTCCCCAGGAGCTGGTGTCTAGCCTCTACCAAGACTATCATCTGGGACTGAAGCTGCCTAAAGTCACCACCGAGGGCCAGGAGGAATCTGACTCCCAGAGTAACTGGCTCTCTGTGATCTTCATACCAAAACCTGGCCCTGCCGAGCCTCCCAGAGCCTCACCTGTGCCTTGGTCTCCAAGGCCTTCATTTCTGCAGAGACAGCTGGTTCTCATGTGGCCAGCTGGAGCAACTTGGGTCTCAGCCTGCACCTGGTTGAGGGGGAGGGTAGCATTAGAAATGCCAGGCCAGAGTTCTAGGAGAGACAGCATTGGTGGTGACAGCAAGAGAGCCTAATGGTACCTATGAACTCTGAAGCCAGTGTTGGTACTGCCCCACGTACAGGGCCACCAGAAAAACACAGGTGGGTGGGTGGTGGGAATTCCTCAGTAATCTCCTCATTGAACCAGATGTTCACTGAGAGCAGGCTCAGGTCTGAGCTTCTCACTCTACAACCCAAACCCAAGCCACCTCCAGGCCATGGGGTAAGCCCATCTGTGGGCATCCAGGGAAGTTTCTGGGAGCCAGACTCCGGGCTGTCTCCATGAGCTCAGGCAGATTCTTTCCTCTCAGAGGAGACTCAGGTTCCCTGTCTATGCAATAAGGCTGGGCAGGTTGGTCTCATGCAAGAGACTGCAGGAGTCTGGCTCTGTAGGAGTTTGGCACATCCAAAAAGGCATACTGGAAGGGGATGAGCTAAGTTTTGGAGGATAACTAAGAATTCACCTGATTGACAATTCAGGAAAGGGCATTCTACACAGAGGAAACAGAATGAGGAAAGGCCCTCCTTTGTTCTCCCACTTTCATTTCCTACACGTAATAAGCCACTGTCCATCTGTGGCAGTGCAACCACCTGTCCTGTGGGGCCTTGGACAAGTCATTTCTCCATTCTGAGTCTCAGTTTCCTACAAGATAGGAATAATGATAATGATGATGACAATGACAACAATAAGGATGTTTGGAAAGTCTTGGCTGGGCCAGATCTGAAATTCTTTTTTTTTGTTTTTTAATTTTCTTTTAGATCTGAGATTCTTTTTTTTTTTTTAATCCTCACTCGAGGATATTTTTCCACTTATTATCAGATAGAGTGGGAAGGAGAGAGAGATCTACTGGTTGACCAGGGCCAGGGATGAACCACAACTGAGGCATGTGCCCATGACCGGAATCAAATCCATGACTCCTTAGTCTGTGGGCTGATGCTCTAACTGCTGAGCCAAACCGGCCAGGGCAGGATCTGAGATTCTTATATGTAGCACTAGGTAACTCCTTCCCTGAACCACCTGGCATCCTGTTTTGGGGGTGGGGATACCAAGGCCTCATCTGGTTCACTATTGGGCTTTATACATACATAGATATGTCTGACAAGTGGGGTGGAGTATCCTTAGTGGCCAGACTGCAGGGTGAGGCCATGGTCCTAGAGAGAGAAGAAGCCTGACAAGTAGACTCATGGTCTTGTCTGCCTTCTCCACCACACCCTTCCTGTGTCCTCCATCCCCATCCCCAGCTTTTCCCTTGCTTTGAGTGACACATGCTTAGTGCATACAAGTAAATCAACCTTGACAGAGACTAAGCAGCAGAAACAAGCAGTTCCATCACCTCTCCCAGACTGGACTCTATACTCTTATTGATGTGGCCACTCACAACCCACAGGGGAGGCCAGCAGAGTGAGGTAATGAGGAGAGAAATGTGATCCAGAGAGAAGAATGTGGTCCAGAACAGATGGAGCTGCTGGTAGCCCCTATTTCCCTAATCCCGCTTTCCCTGTTCTCCCACCCCTGCCCCTTTAATCTCCAAAGTGATGGTAAATTTTCCACTAATGTTGGTTAGAAAAATATGAAAAATTCAGAAAAGTTAAAGGAAAAAAAAAAAGAAGGAAATCAAGGTCACTGATGACTCTGCAACTCAGAACCAACCACAGACACTATTTTGGCATTAATCTTTCCTGTGTGTTACTTTAAACATCTTTGGAGTATTTTGGTATGTACTTTCCATGGCTAATCTGGTCATATTCAATATGCAATTTCAAATTCTGCCCTTTTCAAGTTATTAATCCACATCAGCCTTTTCACAAGTACTGATGACAACTGCTGACACAATAGATTTTCTGTGTTTTACCTACATTAACCCATTTAGCTCTCACTATAACCCAAGGAGGTAAGTATTATTATGCTGACTTTACAGATGGAGAAACTGAGGTTCAGAGGAGTTAAGTGATTTTCCCCAGGTCGCACAGCTCATAGTAGCAGTGCTTGGATTCAAACCCTGCAGCCTGACTCAGAATCACCATATGAAGCTATCTTCTGCTATAGTCTTATAGAGCATGCTATTACTGACGGTGTAGCATATACTATACTCTGTAGAGGAAACATCCATTCTTCAGCCATCCCCTTCACTCAGGTTGGAGTGAGGCTGTTGTCAACAAGATTATAGGACACTCACCATATAAACAAATTTTTTGTGTGTTTTGGACAGTCTCCAGGACCAAATTTCTCAGTCAAAGGATAAGGCAGTTTTAAGGCTCTCGCTTCATGTTGTTCAACGACCTTAGGAAAGACACATGGGCCATCAGAGGATGAAAGCACCTACTTTGCCAACAGTGAGGATGTAACAAGGAGTGGACACTGATGTGTCAGCCTGGCCCCAGGATTCAGTGGACACAAAAACCCCCAAGTCACATCAGCACATGAGAATTTTGTAGAAAGTGGTGAGAACCATTTCCACAACTCATGGGCCCCTCAGCCATTCAAGGCTTAAAAAAGAGTGTGGCCCAGCTGGTGTGGCTCAGTGGTTGAGCGTCAACCCATGCACCCAGAGGTCACCAGTTTGATTGCTGTTCAGGGCACATGCCTAGGTTGTGGGCCCAATTTCCATTGGTGGGCATGCAGGAGGTGGCAAATCGATGTTCTCTCTCATTGATGTTTCTATCTCTCTCTCTCCCCTCCTCTCTCTCTAAAATCAATAAAGGAAGAAGAAAAAAAAAGAGTGTAGAGCCCTGGCCGGTGTTTCTCAGTGGTTAGAGTGTTGGCCAGCGCACAAGGTCACAGGTTTGATTCCGGTCAAGGGCACGTACCTTAGTTGCAGGTTCAATTCTCAGCCCCTGTCAGAGTCATGCAGGAGGCAACAATTCTCTCTCTCTCTCTCTCTCTCTCTCTCTCTCTCTCTCTCTCTTTTCCCCTCCCTCTCTTCCTCTTCCTAAAAATCAATGAAATAAATGTCCTCAGGTGAGGATGAACAACAACAAAAAGGAGTATGGAGAAGGAATTAGGGGAGAGATTTTTATCAAAGAGAGCTGTTGCCTCTCTGTGAATCCTCACCACACTTCTTTTCCCTCAAAGAAGGTCTTTTTCATGAGTCCATGGGGGAAGAAAAGACATGCTGTCCTCCAAGGGGAGGCTAAGCCTACTAAGCTTGAATCCGCCAAAGGGAAATATAACAGCTTGGGATCATAGTGGTTAGAGTAGAGGGGACTGCAATGTGATAAGCCATACCTCTGTTAGCACAGGGCAAGGGATGTTGGGGGGTTGCCCATGTAGACCCTGAAGGATGGGGAAGGGGAGTCACCTTGGACCTGTCTTAGGCCTCTTTCTATATCTCTTAGGGGGGTATAGAGGCTGGGAAGCAAAGTTGGGAAATGACTGCCACATTCCTTGAGACTGAGAAAGGGTCACAGATGAGAATTGGGAGACAGAAGTCCCAAGTAAAAGGCACCTCCAAAGAACCCACAGAATTGGCCATGAGAGAAGGAGTAAGCTTTAATCATCTGCCAGCCTACAGAGCAGGAGGCCATGGGTCAGGTAAGAATTACACTGTCCCCCTGCCTTTTCCCCTCCCTTGATTCCATCCTGCTGAGGAGAGGAGGGAATCACAGAAACCCATTTGACACCCTGTCCTCAAAGCTCCGACAGCCCTGGCCAGTTTGGCTCAGCGGTTAGAGCGTCGGCCTGTGGTCCAGAGAGACCCGGGTTTGGTTCCTGCTAAGGGAACGTACCTCGGTTGCAGTTTGTTCCCAGCCCTGGTTGGATCGTGTGGGTGGCAACCACTCGATGTGTCCCTTTCACATCGATTTCTCTCTCTATCTCCCTCCCACTCTATCTGAACAAAAAAAAAAAAAAAGGAAAAATGTCCTTGGGTGAGGATTAAAAACAAAAGCTAGGACAGGAGTTCAGGCTTTGGTGGGAGATAGGGCGGGGAACAGTCTTGGAATGGCCCTCTCTTCTCACTTGCTCCTACAGCTGCAAACTTCAAACAGAGTCTTCCTTTGCCTGGCCAACTCCTTGTCCTTCACCTAGAATTTGGGTATGCTCCAGGGAACCTTTCTTTCCTGACTACCATCACTTGGCTCTGGGCTCACCCAGGTATCCATCTGGGTTCCCACTGCATTGTTGCTTCCAAGTCCTGCTGCTCAAATTGGACTGCAAGCCTGTGAAGGCAGCGATCATGTAGAAATGGCTCCCCCAGAATCTCCTATATCTGGTGCAGAGTCTGCTGCTCCATGATGATTCTGGCTGTGAGAGTCAAGATGTGTGAGGAAAGGTGATCAAGTGCCTATAGAAGAGACTGGACAGAGAAGCCTAAGGCCCTTACATCCACAAGGAGGAAACCTGGGGGCTAAGGGACCAAGTGCCCAGGTGTTGTGCTCTGGTCTTAGCACCTTCTATGTGGTCAGAGCTTAACTCGCACTAGTACAACTTTAAACCCATTGCACAAATGAATAAACTGGGCAGGGATTGCAGACTGGTCTGTTTCTTGAAAAACCAAGACCAATCTATGATGACCTGTCACCCCAAGGCAGAAACAAGGCTGTGGGCAGTCAGAGGGATGCTGAAAATTTCTCCTGCCCCAGCACCTACTAATGGGGATTGAGGGAAGATAAAAGTGGGACTACCCAGTGCTCACACACTGCAGACAGAACTACCACCTGACATCACCCCAGCCCATGACAGGAGCCAGCTGGCCAGAGCATAAATTATATTCTGTGCCTAAGCTTTACCCTCTGCTTGATGGTACAGACAGCTCTGGGTAAGCCCCCACCCCTTCCTGAAGTATCAGGCAAGAGGAACATGAAGAGCCCTGGACAATTTTTCTCAGTGGTTAGAGCATTGGCCTGCGGTCCAGAGAGACCCGGGTTCAGTTTCCGCTAAGGGCATGTACCTCGGTTGCAGTTTGTCCCCAGCCCTGGTTGGGTCGTGCAGGTGGCAGCCACTCAATGTGTACCTTTCACGTTGATATTTCTCTCTTTCTCTCTCTCCTTTCCACTCTATCTGAACAAAAATTTTTTAAAAATGTCCTCAGGTGAGGATTAAAAAAAAGAGGGATATGAAGAAACAGACCTCCAGTTCAACCTCTCCTAGGGGCAGTGGGGCAGGGGCATTTAGACAAGGTTTGGGTAGATGTGGGGGGCATTTCAGGGCACTAATCCACCTACCTGCTGGAAGTCTGAACATTAATATTTATATTTTTTATAAAACATGGTTCATAATTTAAATAATGTTGGTTTGTAATTTATTTTATATTTATGTTATTTATAAAATTAATGTTTATTAAATTAGTATATTAATATATATACTAGTGTGTGTATATATATTAGATCAAGATCTAAAACATGTCCAGAACTCCATGTGCCCCCTCCCAGTCAACACCCTCAAAGTAACCACTATTCTGACTTTTACCATACATTAGTTTTGCCTACATAAATGCATCAAAACTTTTTGAGGAAAACTGTGCTAAAACCACTTTCAGTATTTTGGCACATTTTCTTTTTGTGTTGGTTTGTATATTTGTACATAGTTGTGATAGTAGCATATATTCAATTTTATACTCTACTTTTTCACTTAAAATCTTACCATTAGCAGTTTACGACTTGAGTTTACAGTTATATTCACTTTGCCTACCTCTAGATATAAATGATGCTTCCCGAACTCACTAGAGTACGTATGAGTATGGTTTAATACATTTCTGACTGTTTTCATAAGGGAGGGACCTGGAAGTGGAATTAGAGTCAAAGCATGTAAACATTTTATGGCTCTTATACATTTTGCCGAATTATTTTCCCAAGGCATCACATCAACCAACAGTATATGTGAATGTTCTTTTTCCTTTATCTTTGCCATAATGGGGTGTCATTGTTTTTTACTATATTAGGTGGAAGTTGTAACTACTAAAAAGGTGGAATGTTTTCATAAGTATTTACATATTGCCTCTGAGTACAGAGCTGGGATCAAGATCACTCCACAGCAGCTCTTGTGCAAGAGTGTAAAGCGCTCTGCCACATACGTGCTAGGGTGAGGACAGTAAAATATCACTGTTGAGAGCAGAGCTCTGACGTCAGAACTCTGTGTGACCTTGTGTGAGTTATATAACCCCTTTGAGCTTTCATTTACACATTTGTTAGTACGATGATAGTAACGTTTACCCTGTAAGTTTTTTAGGAAGACGAGGTGAGATAGTATAAGCAAAGTGTTTGGCACGTACCAGGCTATTATAAAGAATCAATAAGAGTTGTTGCTATTCAATCATGAGTGAACCCAAGATTTAGGGCAAATCCGGGTAATGTGACAGACCTCAGCCTTCTGGCTCTCTCTGATAAGACCTCAGGCTGGCCCAGCCAGTGTGGTTCAGTGGATTGAGCATTGTCTCATGGACTGAGAGGTCCTGGTTTGATTACCAGTCAGGGCCCAGGTTTCGGGCTCGATCCCCATAGAGGTCATGCAGGAAACAGCCGATCCAGGTTTCTCTCTCACGTCGATGTTTTCTCTCTCTTCCATCCTCTCTCTCTAAAAAATAAAAGTTAAAAAAAAAACATAAAAAATAAATTAAAAAAAAAACCTCAGGCTGGTCACTGTCCCACTCTGAGCCCCTAGACCTTCCCAGCTCCTTCCAGGACCAATAAGAAGCCCATGTGAAAGGGCTTTGCAAACTTCAAAGAACTGCCCACACAGAGGTGTGAGATGATCCCTGGCCCCTATTGGCCTGCCTTCATGCTTGAAGGGCCATCATTACAGCCACTCCTTTGTGCCCAGATATTGTTTACATAAGATCTTTAGAAACCTGGGAATGTGAGCAGAGAGGTAATTTTGGCTACTTGCAGCTAGGTATCTGAGGTTATGCTCTATCACACCAATTCCAAATGCTTTTCAAAACCAAGTTGCATCAAAATTTCCTGGTGCAACACTGAGATTCTCATTCAGAGGGTGTGGGTAGGGCCTAGGAATCTATATATATTTTTTTTTAATCCTCACCCGAGGACATTTTTCCATTTTTTGTTCAGGTAGAGTGGGAGGGAGAGAGAGGAACAGAGAGAGAGAGAGAAACATCGATGTGAAAGGGACACATCGAGTGGCTGCCACCCGCACGACCGACCAGGGCCGGGGACAAACTGCAACCGACGTTCGCGCCCTTAGCGGGAACCGAACCCGGGTCTCTCAGGACCGCAGGCCGACGCTCTAACCGCTGAACCAAACCGGCCAGGGCGGAATCTATATTTTAACAATGATTTCCCCCCGATAATTTTGATGCATAGCCAAGTTCAATAAGACTTGGATCAGATTTGCTTTGTCACTTTGCAGAGTGAGCTCCAGGGGGTCAGGGCACAGAACAATTCAGTTTTCATAAGGGAAGAGGGGAAGACGTGACCTGGATTTTTTTTTTTTTTATCCTCACCCGAGGACATTTTTTGTTGTTGTTGTTGTTCAGATAGAGCGGGAGGGAGAGAGAGGGAGAGAGAGAGAGAGAGAAACATCGATGTGAAAGGGACACATCGAGTGGCTGCCACCCGCATGACCAACCAGGGCCGGGGACAAACTGCATCCAAGGTACATGCCCTTAGCGGGAACTGAACCCGGGTCTCTCCGGACTGCAGGCCGACGCTCTAACCGCTGAGCCAAACAGGCCAGGGCGTGACCTGGATTTTTAAGAAAGGGGCATCAGAGGTGAGGCCTTAGCAATCCTTGCAACATAGTGGTGCAAAATGAGAGCCTAGAAGAGGAAAAAGTGCCCATAGACAGAGACTAAATTCAACTTGGCCTGGTTTGTATCTGTTCCAAGAGGTGGCTATCATGTAGGTATGCCTGTAGTGTTTGTGTGTGTATGATGTATGATATATGAATGTACACTATATATGGATACATTGTAACCTATATCTAATTATACTGATATGCACATGGGCATGCATTTAACTCTTATATTTCTGCATGTTTCTTTGCAGATGATCTGTGCTCATATATACCTATGTATGTATAAATTTGCATGTACATGTGAGTATTATATGAGTGTATGTATGAGAATGCATACAGGGTAAAAGTAGGTTAAATTACCAGCCATCATTGCCTAAAAGATAATCATAAGTAAGGATACAAAATAATAACAATAATAAGACAAGTAATACAAATAAATAATACAATAATTAATAAATATACAAGAATAAACTCTGTTTTGCATACTCATTATAAACCTACTTTTGTCCACCCCTATATATGTGTGTGATTTCTTCCAAGAAATATGCCAGGTTAACAAAGAGGTATAGTCATATCAATATCAGACAAAAAGAAATAAAAATAGTCCTGGCAAGTTTGGCTCAGCAGTTATAGCATCAGCCGGTGGACCAATGAATAGCGGGTTCGATTCTGGTCAAGGGCACGTACCTCAGCTGCAATTCGTCCCCGGTCCTGGTTGGGGTCATGCGGGAGGCAGCCACTAGATGTGTCCCTTTCACATCAATGTTTCTCTCTCTCTCTCTTTCTCTTCCTTTCTCTCCCTCCTACTCTATCTGAACAAAAATGGAAAAGTGTCCTCCAGTGAGGATAAAAAAAGAGAAAGAAATGAAAATAAATTACATATTTATGAACATTAAATAATACATTAAATGACACAAATAGAAATATTTTGTATAACAGACATAACTTTTATATACCTACCAACACAGTTTTGAAATATTAAATCAAATAATGAGAAAAAAAAAAAATCCTGAAGAGAAACATAGAAAAAGCAGGCAAATACATAATTGTTATGAAAAGCTTCAAGCTGATGCTGATGCCCATGACAGATGGGTCAGTGTCCTTTCAGTGGCTAAGGTAATCCTTCCCTTCTCTTCCTAGGTGCTGAGCACACCAAGGAGTCTCTAATGGCTACTGAATTATGGGACCCTCCAAGGAAAGTAGATCCACATGGGGAAGATAACTATCAATGTCTTCCTAGGAATCCCCTTCTCCAGACATCTGTGAGTGCCCTCAGATTTGCTAGCCCTAGAGTGACCAGAGCCCTGGGAAGGAAACAGAGATGCCACCACCTATGCCCCTGTGTAAGAGCCAGAGGACTGTTGGTTGGGAGGTGGGCAGACCCTAAGAATAGTGGTGGACCTATGCCTGCCTCTGGATATGGTTTGAAAAACTCACTAAAAAGAGCATACTATGTGACCATAGGCAGGCCTGGGCCCATTTTAGGCCTCACTTTCCAAACCTATATAATGAGATGATTGGTCCAGATGATGTTTAAGGCACTCATAAAGCTATTCTTGGTTCTCTCATGAAGAGAGAACCTAGTACTATAGTCAGTAGTGGATAAAGCTTTGGGGAGCACAGAGGGGGAAGTGTCCAGCAGAGGGGGCACCACTTGAGCTGGGCCTTAAACATGAGGAGTTTGCTAGGCAGAAGGGAAAGCATTTGGCAGAGAGGACAGAGGCACAGAGTCTTGGAGGTGGAAGGCAAGGGGTCATTTGTATCTGAAACAAAGGTTGGCTGGGTAGATGACTTGATGGAAAGGAAAGCCTGGGTTGGTGTGGGTGAATCTGGACTTTATCCTGAGGGCAGAGGGAGCCAGGGAAGGTTTTAAGGAGGGGAATGACATGGTCAAATTTGTATTTTCTATCAATTCCTCTGGACAGAGTGTGGAGGACGAGTTGGAGGGGGTGTAAAGAGGCAGCCCTGGCCAGTTTGGTTCAATGGATAGAGTGTCGGCCTGCAGACCAAAGGGTCATGGGTTCGATTCTGGTTAAGGGCTTGTGCCTCGTTTGTGGTCCAATGCCCAGACCTGGTCGGGGTTGTGCAGTAGGCAACCATTGGTGTATTTCTCTCACATCAATGTTCCTCTCTCTCTTCCCCTCCTCCCCACTCTATCTGAAAATCAATGGAATAAATATCCTCGGGTGAGGGTTAACAAAAAGAGGCTGGGGCAGTGTCCTGGCCAGAGGTGGTGATGGCCCTCACAGGGCAATAGTCATTGGATGGAGGGAGGGGGCCTATTCCAGAGTTGTTTGGGAAGCAGTACAGAACCTGAGGGGAGGATGGGGCATGAAAGACAAGGTGATGTCCAAAGCACCCAAGTTTCTGGTTTGACAGTACCAATTAGGTCTGTAGTAGGGACAGGGAACCTCTCCCCAGGCCAACCCACTGAACAAGGCTCAAGACAGAGGGATGGATCCAGAGTAGGCCAACATGCCTCCCCATCCATGGAACCTAATGCTAGTGGAAGCCTCTCTAATGTGAATACACAAATGCACGTGCGCGCACACACACACAGGCTGCCTGGCTGCCTGGATTTTGCTTTTGATTCTATTCCCTCACTGAGAAACCATTCTGGCACTGTCACCACCTTGCTGGGCCCAAACTCACATGGTGACCACAGGTGCCTTCAGGAATCCTGGGGGCCAATCACTTCCATGGACTTCAACACACGAAAACAATAAAAGTTGCTGCACTTGAGTGAGGGCTGTCTGTACCTGAACGTGTACGCGTCAGTGTGCGGGTGTAGGGACCTTCTGCTGCCGGTAAGTACTGTCTTCAACCATTTGCACTCCACACTGCCTTCCTACCGCCGAGCTCAGGCCTCAGCCTTCCTCTCTGGGGTGATGGTCTGGTTCCCAGGAGGCTCCTTCCTCATGGGCTCCGCTTTCACATATGATGGCTCCAAGTTGGTAGCCTGCGAGGAAGTGGTGCTTGTGCTTCTGCAGCACAGGCTTGGCATCCTGGGCTTCCTGAGGAGGTTGAGGCCGAGGACCACGCAGGGGACCAGGGGTGGGGCCACCTAGAGACAGCTCAGAGAGTAGGTGGTGGAGTTGGCTGAAGTGACCGAGTGAAAGGAGAGGGACGTGGCCACGTGAGGTGATATGGTTTGTATCTGAAACAAAGGTTGGCTGGGTAGATGACTTGATGGAAAGGAAAGCCTGGGTTGGTGTGGGTGAATCTGAGGTGAGTGGCAGGGGTAGGAGACTCACCTCACGTGGCCACAAATGCTTGGCGGAGGAGGTGGAGGCTTGATGTCTCCTCAACAGGCAGGACCTAGCTCTAAGGAAGGAGGCATGGTCCCAAGACCAGATTTCTGAGGGACAAGGTGGTGCGAGACTGGACCTGGAAGGAGCAAACTCTTAGGACCCAGACAGTTGGGGCTGCGGACCCTGATCCTGAGTCCTGTGCACCCAGCCAGGCCCGCTGGAACTGGGCATTGCTGGACCAGGTGGCAGCTCTGCGCTGGGTGCAGAGGAACACAGCAGCCTTTGACGGAGATCCAGGCTGTACCTGTTATACCAGTCATTAAGAGCCATGTGCATCTCCAGACTGGTGAATGTGGTGCCTGGGCAGATACAGCACAGAGGCAGGCCAGCGTGTTCCCACAAGTGTATGCTTAAACTGTACAGACACGTGCAGATTTACATGTACAGAAACGCCAGTCCACAGACCTGCCCTCAGCTCTGCCATTTCCCAGAGTAGCACTACAGTACTCAGAGTCTTCATCATTCCTGACCAGCTGAAGTTTGCCAAGATGGATGTCCCCCTCTCCAAGAGTTCAGCAAGGAGGGCAGGATGGGGGCACCCCTAAACATCTCTTCTCTCCGCAGAAGTTTGCCCGCATGACAGGCTGCAATGACAACAGCACACATTCTGGTAGACTGCCTGAGGGCACAATCAGGGGCCCGAGGTGATTCCGGTGTCCAAGAATATGGTAGGTAGAACTTCCTTCCAGGTTTCTGACCCAGATGCTTGCAAGTCACCCTCCTAACCTGGTACCAGCCACCCCAGGAACATAGTTCCAGGAGTATGTAGAGAAACTTTCTTTTACTCCAGTCCTTTCCTCTCCCCCACAGAGATTCTTCCACCTGAACTCCCAGGAAGACCCTCAGGAGGTGAGCAGGCCCCATTCTGTAATTTGAGTATTTATTGAATACCTACTGTGTGCCAGGCACTCAGGATACTCAGTGAACTCTTCAGGCTAAGATATCTTACCTAGTGGGGCTGATGTTCCCATGGGAGGAGACAATAAACATTTCATATAAATAAGCTATTCATTTCTAGAAGGTGACAAGTAAATAGCAGGGTAAAGAGGTCAGCATGTGGGGGGTGGGGTTAAAAAGAAAGGACAGAGAGGGCTTCATTGAGAAGGTGACATTTAGCAAAGATTTTCAAGAAGTGAAGGAGCAAGCAATGTGGATACCTGGGGTAAGCATCCCAAGGCTGAGTAGCCTGGTCCTGACTATTGCTGGTCCTCTCCCATACCTGCCCTCCTAGGGGTCATCAAGCCCCAGATTTTTACCAGTTAAGGAGTCTACGACTAGAGTGGTTTCTGGACAGTGGTTTCTGCTGAGCTGGTTACCCTAGGCCACAGGGATCCTGAAAAGATATGTGGGAGGACTGGCTGGAAACACCCCTTACTTTGTAGATTGTGTGGTTCATGAGGCCCATGGTGAATGGTGTGGTGTTCCCAGATGACCCTGTGGTGCTTCTGACCCAGGGGCAGGTTGCACCTGTGCCCTATCTTCTGGGTGTCAACAACCTGGAGTTCAGTTGGGTCTTGCCTTTTGTAAGTGAATAGGAGGGGTGCCCACCACACTAGAAGTAGCAGAGGATGCCTCTTGGACAGTGCTGGGTACCAGGTCAGATCCCATTGGCCTGTTGGGGATGCCCAGGTGCTTGGAAATCTCCTTCAGTCCCTAAGCAGCGATAGCAGGCCAGAAATTATGGGGGTGGGGGAAAGTGTGGTCTCTTGGAGGTTTGGGGGCCCCAAATTGTTAGATAATAGCTTGGATGTATCACTAAGATTCCAGGCAGCTGTAAATCTTGGAGCCCTCCCTTGCTCCTGGGTCAGGATAGATATCCCAGCTTAGAAGGATCCCTCCCAGCTCCCACTTCAGTTCTGACCAGGTAGTAGTGATAGACCACTTGGCAGGAGGGCAGGAAAGGGTCGTGGGCCCTTCCTGGGCTATGTGCTCTGTCTGAAAACTCACCATTTCAATGGGTGAGAGCCTTGGGGCCTAGTGTAGCTCTGGCTGGAATTCCTCCCGATACCTGGACGTAGCCCACACCTTGGTTCTTAGCTTGTGGACAGATCTCGAAGTTGCCACTAAACTGGTGCATGATGAGAAAATAAACCATCACCAAGCTGCTCTGGAGTACCAGCACCTTCTTGTGAGTAGCCACACTATTAGGGGTGCTCAGTTTGGTTGGACAAGTCTACCCCTCCCTTTTTTATTTCTAACCTATTATGAGCTCTTAACAAAGGGCTCCCTGCCAGGATAAATATCTTTCTTGGGGGCTTGGGGTTTGGCATGGGATAAGATGGCTGCTGGTGGGTAAGGCCTCCCAGGCTTTAGGGTCATGACAGATAGTTCTTATACAGCAAAAACATGAGGGTAAGAATCAGCAAAGAAGGAGAACCTCCAGGAAGCTTCTCTCTTTCTCCCCTTCCCCCAGGATAAAAACTCCTGGGTCCAAGTCACTGGTGTGCCCATCTCTGGCCTAGCTGGCACCCAGAGTGGGTATGGTTTCCCTACCCAGAATATCACCAAGGAGCAGCTACCACTGGTAGTGGAGGAGTACCTGGGTGATAGCAATGACCATGACTAGAAGATGTTATGAAACCATGTGATGGATCTAACTGGGGACACTACATTTGTGTACTCATGATGCAGGTTGCCCGCTACTACTGCAGTATGTGGGGCCCCACTTGTGCAGTTTGCCAACTGTTCACCCCCCGTCTCTATACCTCTGGGCTGGTATAGGATTGCAAGATGCCACAGAAGAGGCAACATACTATCAACTGTAAGAGAGGCTCAGAGGCACGTTGGAGAACCTGTCCAGGCTAATTTGGGATTGAGGAACATGTACATGAAAGGCCAAAGGTGGAGCTGGAGAGGGTAGGCCTGAAGAACCTTAAAAGCCAACCAAAAGAGGAAAGGTTCAGAAGAGGGAAGAAAAAAGTTTCCATGATCCTTGCTACAATTTCATGATTTAAGTTTTAGCATCCCCAGTCTGCAGGTGAGAAACTGCAGCTCAGAGATGTTAAGTGACTTGCCCCAGGTCATGTGGCTAATGAATAGTGCCAGGCAGGATTAAAATCTGCTCCCTTGATTCTGAAGACCAAGCTCTTCCCCTGCTTGATACAGGTGGGTGGGATGCATGGTGTGGAAAAGAAGCCCAGGCTCAGACTTTTCCTGCAGCCTTCCTCAGTTTCCCTATTCCTAGATGCTGGCTTCCATATCTACATGAATGAGTTTGAGCACCACGTTCCCACCAGCATTATTATGAAACCTCACACTGACAGTGCAGACCACAGGGATGAGATCTACTTCATCTTTAGATGTCCCTTCTCTAAAGGTGCTAACAGCTCACCTGACACCCCTACTGAGTGTCTAGTCTCCCCCATCTTTGTACTGGTATCCACCCATCATCTAGAACGTTTTCCCAAATGAAAGCCTCCTAGCATGGAGGCAATAACAGAAGAAGCAGAATGGGATGTCAGCACGCCATGCTCTGTTACAAATGCCACATCCCATTCTGCCCCCAGGACATTCCAATGGTGAGGAGGAGGTGCCGATCCTCCAGATGGTAAAACACTGGGCCAACTTTGCCTGCAAAAAGCGAGTCTGGCACCCCAACACATCTGGGCAGTCTTCCTGATCAGGGCAAGACCTGATGACCAGCTGCCTCTGATGTTTGTCCCTGCATGTCCCACAAAAAAAATGCAAATCAGCCCATGCAGAATGCCCCTTCTCTCTCACCTTTCTTCAGTCAGTCACCAGGTCCTAAATGTCCCTAGCATGTGTCCCTCTCTCTATCTCATGACCATAGTCTTGATTTACTCAAGCATTCAAGTCATTTCCAGTGCTGTTTTCTGCCCAGCTCAATACTAGGAGCTGGAATTCAAGGATAATGCAGACATGATCACCATTCTCCAGCAGCTTGTTAATGTTTAATGGAAACATTAAATTACCATCCGGCATAATGAGAGCTGTACTGAGGGAACATAAAGCACTTTGAGAGCACAGAGGAGGTGTCTGACTGTGCCTGGTTAGACAGGGAAGGCTTCCTGGCAGAGGTGACATGTGAGCTGAGCTTTGGCTTGCCTCATGACATATCTCATCTCACATTCTCTCTCTTTTCTATCCACCCTCTTTATGACACTCAAAGGGTCTTTCTAAAAGATCATCTGACCAAGTCATTCACCTACTTAAAATTCTTCATGGCTTCCTATGAATAATCCTCTCTCCTTCCTCCTCCTGGACAGAAATCCCAATGGTGGGAAGCTGCCCTACTGGCTACACTACAAGGGGGGAAATTACCTGCAGCTGGATTTCACCACTAGGGTTGGTGAGAACTCAAGGACAAGAAGATGGCTTTTTGGATGAAGCTGCACCAGCATTAAGGACCTTAGAAGCAGAGGCAATTCTGGGGGTGGCTATGCAGGAAAAAGCCTAAGGGATTGTCCCCCACCAAGGCCTTGGGGAGACTTGCCATGGACATCTCTGGGACAAGGGTTTTGCTCTCCCCAATCTAGAATCTTTAGGGGCTCTCTACTACTCCCAGGCTAGAGCCAATATTTCAGACTGTTGTTTGGGGCCCTGCACCACCCTCTTCAGCCTGACATCTCATGATGCCCACATATCTCACTGATTCTATTATTTTAAGCCAGGTTAAGACTGTGCCCAGCTACCCAGCCTCAGGACAAGCCCTTCTCTCCCTCCCTTCTCCAAATCCTCCCACCCTTCAAGGTCTACTCGAAGCCACTTATGGGAAGTCCATCCAGACTGTCGCTGCCCCTATCATTGCACCCAGATTGTCATTTATCATTCATCCTGCTCAACCTTGAGTCTGTCCACTTTGGCCCGAGGCCTTGGGCTCCTCCAAAGCCTGAACACAGGGATGGTCCTCAATAAAAACATGTTGAGTCTGGTCGGTGTGGCTCAGTGGTTGAGCGTCAACCCATGCACCAAGAGGTCACCAGTTCGATTCCTGGTCAGGACACATGCCCCAGTTGTGAACCTAGACCCCAGTGGGAGGCATGCAGGAGGCAGCCAATTGTTCTCTCATCAATGTTTCTATCTCTCTCTCTCCCTCTCCCTTCCTCTCTCTAAGATTCAATAAAGGAAAAAAAAATTTTTTTTTAAACAACAACAAAATATGTTGACTTACCTGAATTTCTCCATCTGCAAAATGGTTGGGTATCTCTATATGAACCTTTGGAGGAAGGGAGTGTTGCTGCCTGGTCCTTGTTGGGCTAAGCCTGGTATGCTACACTCAATCAAGGGGAGCTACAGCAAAGTTGCCTGAGCTGTAAAATAGTTGGCTTTTGTCATCATATTCTTAAGTACACCCCTCAGGACAGCCACACTCCATGCTCACTTGTCCATCAGTTTAGGTCTTGGTGCTGCATCCAGACTCCTCACTCTCTCACCTCTCTTGCATTCCACCTCATACTCTAACCTGTCCTGCAGATGTTTTGTGGGGTTTTTTGGTGGTAAGATATATATAACGTAAAATTTACCAATTTAACCATTTTAAGTATCCAGTCCAGTGGTATTGGGTACATTCACATTGTGCAATCAATATCACTATCCACCTCCAGAACTTTTTCATCATCCCAAACTGAAATTCTATATCCATTAAATAATAACTCCCTCTTCTCCCTTACCTTCAACCCCTGCTACCCACTATTTTATTTTCTCTCCTATTATTTGACTATTCCAGGTAACTCATATAAGTGGAATCATACACTATTTGTCCTCCTTTTATGTCTGGTTTATTTCACTTAACAGAATGTCTTCAAGATTCATCTATGTGTAGCATGTGTCAAAATGTCATTCCTGCCCGACTGGTGTGGCTCAGTGGTTGAGCTTCAACCCATGCAAGAGGTCACTGGTTCGATTCCAGGTCATGGTACATGCCCAGGTTGTGGGCCCAATCCCCAGTGAGGCGTATGCAGGAGGTGGCCAATCAATCTTCTCTCTCATCGATGTTTCTATTTCTCTCTCCCTCTCTCTCCCTCTCTCTAAAATAAATAAAGAAAAAAAAATTTTTTTTGGTACGTGCCCCTAGCGGGAACTGAACCCCGGACTCTCTGGTCTGCAGGCTGATGCTTCAACCGCTGAGCCAAACCGGCCAGAGCAGAAAAAAATTTTTTCATTCCTTTTAAGGCTGAATAATATCCCATTGTATGTACATACTCCATGCTATTTATTCATTCATTCATCTGTTGATGAATATTTGTGTTGTTTCCACCTTTTGGCTATTGTGTGTAAGAACGAGGCGGAACAAGGTGGTGCAGGGTCTCCAGAAGTGCAGGGTTACTGGGAATTAGCCTGCCAGACTATCCCGAAGGAGAGAGTAGCAAGCGGCTTGTACAGACTAGAGATTTTTAAACTCAGGACTTGGGGGGGGGGGAGGGTGTCGGTCAGCCTAGGAGACGTGGTCGTCTTTGATTGGTTGGGCCTGGGGTCTCCCGAGTTCTTGATTGGTTGGGGGCTGGAGTCTCCTGAAACTTGTTTTTCTTGTCCAGCAACCAACCTTTTGCAGTTTTGGGTGCGTTAGGGTGGTTCCATCATTCTGTTCCGCCTGACTGGAGCGATGGGTTTTGGTTTCTTGGAATGAGAGGTTTAGGGCAGTAATATGGAAGTTAAGAGCTAACACTGTGAATAATGCCATGAACACTCATATAGTGTCCCAGAGACTTTATGTCCTAAACCATGTTGATTAAGCTCTATATTCTTAGGGTTTCCTGAATCACTGAGACAACTGGATGCTGCAGAGACCTGTGGGGTGAGGGGCACCCAATCTCTATACTCCAGTATCTAAGCCCCAAAAGCAAAGGGATGGTTGGAGGAGGGTGAAAATTCCCTTTCTTCACAATAAATCTGTCACATAGATTTTATTACCATTATTTTATAGGTGAGGAAACTGAGAAAGAGACATAAAAAGCTTGCTCAAGGTCATGACCTCATGGTAGCAGAGTGGGAAGCTAATCTAGGCCTGGCTGATTCACCCTTCCATTTCTAACCTGACCTGGAGCAATCCCTGAGGAAGGGTGGCCCCCAGAGGAGGTGTGACAACTCCATTCTCAGGGAGTTGTCAGAGACAGCAGAATATTCTGTCCACTTCTAACCAAGGGACAGGCAAATAGTCACTCAACAGTGAAAACCTGAGTGAGAGCTGGGAGCTCATTCCCCTAGAAGGTGGTCCTAGGCAGCCTATACAGAATTTAGCAGGGGCTGAGGTCTGGCTGGGCTTCATTCACCCTAGTGTCTGCAGGGGACATCCTGGCCTGGGGGGAGGGGGTCCAGAGGTCTGACTCCAAGCTGGTCTAGAGCTGCTTGTGAAGGTCCTTCAGTTCTCCCCTCCAGGCTTTTCACGTGTAGTAGAAGGAACCTTTTCCAGCCAGCCACCTGCCTAACGGTAATTCTTTCCCAGATTAGAGGGAGTGCCGTTGAGCAGGAGCTGGGGTTCAGTCAGGTCCCAACCAGGCTGCAGCAGATGCCAGGATCAGAAAGGACTATCAGGGAACCCTAGGACCTCCTCTAGAAGTTCAAGCCTGGAAGAACTCTGGTGGGCAGACTGGATGGTGGGCTGACCCTGCCTCCCACAAGCCCCCGATCTGAATCCTCTCCATCCAGTTAGTATTGCTGGATGAGGTGAGAGGGGAGGGCTACCTACTGCCCTGTCTCCACTCTGTCTTTCTGCCTGTCCTAGGGTTCCCCATGGCCACCCAGAGTCCTAAAGCTAAAGCTCCAGCCAGGCCCCACCTCTCAGGGAGCGGTTTTTAGAACTGGTTGGATCTTAGTGTAGCCCCGCCCTCTCAACACACACACACACACACACACACACACACACACACACACACCTTTGTGACCCACCCCACCCCCCTTCGATTTACCCGTGTAGCCCCGCCCTCTCAACACACACACACACACACACACACACACCTTTGTGACCCCCCCCACCCCCCTTCGATTTACCCGGCTCCCCAGGGCCACCATGAGGACAAGGGCCCCTGTGCAAAGCTGGCTGGGGAACAGCACGAAACCTGTCTCCTGAAGGCCCCTGCGGCTCAGTTCCTGCTGAGCTTGACTCCCCTCTCCGGAAGCAGCGCCCCTTCCTCTCCTCCAACACCCGGCCAGCCACCCCCTGTCCCCGCTCCAGCAGCAATTACCGGCTGGGGAAGCTGGGGAAGGGCCAATTAGTGTGGGAGATGCGGCCCCTGCACAGGGCCCCCCTCTGACCGCAGCCCCCGAAGCGCCACCGCCTTCTCCCGCCCCCAGACTCCTGCCACAGTCTCGCCCGCCGCCCTCCTTGCCTGGCCGACTGCGCCGGCTGCCTAGAGCCCCGGGGGACGCGCCGTCCGGCCTCCAGCCAATTGCAGTGATGGATCTAGCTGCCTGGCGCGGGGCCAAAGCCCTGGCGGATGCGGGGGCGCCGGGAGCTGAAACGCCAACGCTGGGCTGTGGGGGCAAACGGAATGGGGCCTCCCTCCCTGCAAGGGCTCCTGCCCTCCCCAGCCTACGCCTTGGGGCGTGGTGGGAGTGGAGCAGCCTCAGTCTCAGGCAGGCAACTGAGGCATTCCGGACAGGGGCCATCTCTGCTCAAGCCCTCTATGGCTACATAGTCCTCTTGGCTTCAGGACCTCCAAGGCTAGACCTGAGCTGGCCACTCCCAGAGCAGTTTCCTCCTGGTGGCCTGGCAGGGCCCGGCCTTAGAAATCCTTGGCTGTAAAGGATCAGCCTCCAGTGGCTAGGAGGTAGGCAGCAGGATGGGTGGGCAGTGTAGGGCCACAGGTGTTCATCACTGATCAGGGAATACATGAACTTCCTCCCCTGGGCCCATGCCCTGCACAACCTCACTTGCACACCCGTGGGCTCTGGGAGACCCAGAAGGATCACTCCTGCCCTCCAGAAGCCCACAGACTAAGTGGGCAGAGGCTCTAGGAGCTTGGCTGGGACCTTAAGAAACTCTGAAGTCCAGGGAGGCACCAGGTAAAGGAAAGAGGGGCTGTAAGAGGGAGCAGTGGTGCCCTGGCCAGTTTGGCTCATCAGTTAGAGAGTTGGCTTGCGGTCCAGAGAAACCCTGGTTCGGTTCCTGCTAAGGGCGGCAGGTACCTCGGTTGCAGTTTGTCCCTGGCCCTGGTTGGACCTTGCGGGAGGCAGCCACTCAATGTGTCCCTTTCACGTCAATGTTTCCCTCTCTCTCGCTTTCTCTCTCCCCATCTCTCTCTGCCTCCTGCTGAACAAAAAAAATGGAAAATGTCCGGTGAGGCTGAAGTTTCTAGAAGGGAAGGAATAGTCAGGTGAGGTAGGGTTCACTTGGAAAGTCCACAAATGGAGCTGACAAGAGATATGCTGCACAATACTTTTGTTTCCCCCATCAGTGCCCCAAAGG